CATTGTTTAAAGCTACGTCCTCCAGCAGTAAAAGATGCCAACAGCTGTATATCCAAAGGCTGGAGCCGATCAGTGTTCCACCATCCAAATACCCACAGCTGGATTCGTCAGTGAATAGCGCTGATCAGAGAGCAGCCTGTGCCAAAGCACGTCAGAAAAATGACAAATTATTTCATTCCTTTGCAAGCGAACAAACAGATTCCTCTCAAGCACTGAAAACATTATTCTGGGTTGGAGCCTACCTGACTATATTTAGCACAAAGAGAATTTTATAAACATAACGAAAAGWAAATGTTTTCAGGGCAGCCTGTTGCTTTTTGGTCATGAATTGGGCCATTCTATTCGAGAATTCACGTCATGTAATTTGAGAGTGTAGCTAATAAAAATAATAAACAGAATATCCAGGGAAATAGTACTCTTGTTAMCAGAGTTACTTATAAGTTTAGGTTTAATTACACTTGACTGCTATTTTTATGCTTCCTGAAACAGAGCAAGCCCAGACTTATTAATCCACTGGCCTAATTGGATTAATGGACAAAACACATCTTCCCTTAATAAGATAAAGGATTGAAATATAATCTCTAAGGGAAGTMTCCACCCTGCTGTTAAAACAAACTAACAGATTGATTGACCCTAACTGCCCCCAGAAATGGATCTTGCAAGAGCTTGTTTTAGAGGGAAGTGGCTGGAGGAGGTATTTAGGATATCAAACCTTGGGCCAGCCTCTCCAGCTGGTTCAGCCCAAAGCTGTCAGGTGTTTGGTAAATGCATCAGTCACAGGAAGGACTGAAAGCCAGAGCAATGCAGTGCAGAGACCCCTTTGGAGGCAGRGCAGTGCTCTGGCCTCTCCTTGTTACAAACAGCTGAAAATCCCCCTGGATCAGATCAGCCCAATGGTGTCCACCTGGCCTAAGTGCCCTGGGGAGATAGGCAGAGAAAATGAGATTAGTCTGCACTTCTGCTGCTGSTCTGACCGGTGGGAAGCCAGGCAGTCTCTAAGGGATTCCTTGTGCCTTCTCCAAGGGTCCACACATTAATTTCCCTTTAAATATTTCTGCAGCATGTAAGCAAGGAGGATGATTTTGAAACAGAGGCTTTCWTGTCACTTATTCACTTAATAATTTAATTCAAGGAGCATGAATACCAGCTGTTGGTTTGGCACTTGAGTTGTTTCTTTGTAAGTATTTTTTGGGCTCCGAGTTGTGTGAGTTGCATCTGTAAACTGTTTATATTGGACCCCTGCAGACACTGTACCCCATGCTGGAGCAATCCTGGGAGTGAAGGCCTGGACACACAAACACATCTCCAACAGCTTTCTGTAGTTTACTAATTTGAGCTTTGGCAGRCCCCCAGAGGAAGTGATTCCCAGAAACTCTCCTGATGCAATAACAGCAAACCARAAGAGCAGGCAAAGAGGACTCAAGCAGCAGGAACAAATACTTGGCATCTCTTACATGGACAACATTAAGGTAAATCTTTGGTCCTGTGTTGCTAATCTTTTCTTTTTAAATCTAGGTTTGTAAAATACTCATATTAGGATTAAGAGTTGGTAAAAGACTTTTCCAAGCCATAAAATTGGCTGGGAAATGTAATTCTAGGCTAATAATGGTTATGCTAGTTATCTTGCTCTTTCTTTGTGTCTTTCCAYTTGCCCCAAATAAGCACAAATGAGCACTAGAATTGCTAATAGCTGGCCCTTGTAAAACAACTGTTAACTGACTTAATTGCCTTAAATACATGAAACTAGCAAATTCACACTGAAAACTTRTGGTCAAGCCATAAGAAATWTATTRGAAAGAAAAAAAAAMMCCTTTTCTTTAGGACAAGGCTAAGGAAATACAAAATGTTTCTTTAAAGAGGAAGTTAATGAGTAGCCTTCCCCACTATCATTAAATTTCAGATGCAAACCAGCCAAATCTGGCTTTTCTCTGAAGTTAAATTCATGTGTATTACATATACGATGGACTGCTACAGTTTCTCACACTCAGGGTGGGGACCTTAAAAGAAAGAAACTGCCTGATGATCACATCCTGGAGAGGGCAGGGGAGACATTCTGACATCTGAAAGCYGTTTTAGGGGAATYTGTTTCAGGTGCCATGTGGGTTTTRTSTCTCCCYCTCCCTTGGTGCTCCAGTTGGTTACCGAATGTCCCCAAACTCYGGCACTGCTTTGCTGCACTGCACAAAATAATTGATGACAAGGTGTTGGCTGCAGGTCATTAATTGTGGCAGCAGCAAGGGTGGGAAACTGGATAGGCTTCATCTCTTTAGGMTGTGCTCTTTACAAAYGTCTCATCTCTTTACAAATGTCTCATCTCTTTACAAACCTCAGCTGTGGATGCACCTGGAACAGCTGAGCTAACTTGGACTGACATAAATATGACTCACCTGTGCCTTAAAACACTGCAGGCAGGTCACAGCCCACTGCATCCAAAAGTATGCTGAAGGGCTGGAAAAGGTTTCAAGAGCAAAACAAACCTGACCAAAGACTTTGGTCCAGATAGGCTCTGACTTCAGCCTAGGTGAGGGAGGGGTATGGGGTGAATCGTCCCATGCAGGAACCTCATTAATCAAATCTAACATTCTGGAGCCTTCAGCCTCATGCTGATCGACTTGTTGGTGTTCTCCACTGCTTGCCTTGTTTCCTAAAAATAAAAATACCTGGATAGTGCAGAAGGGGATGAGAAAGYAGCAGACCTCGCTAGAAAACATCTGAATGTCCCTCTACAGCATGTGAGGTTGTGCCAAATCTTTAGAAGCTGCTGTTAAATCTCTGGCTAGATGTTACAGACGCTTTGGATAACGGGCTTTAACTGGATGCCTCAGCTAGAAGCTTGGATATCATTCCAGTGTTTCCTGCTAGTTGTAGGAGTTGTATTTCTGTTGGAAGGCGACCAAAATGAGRGGAAAGGAAGGCTTATTTTCTGACGGATGGTTGCACTAAAAACTGGCGTTTTTCCTGCTCTGGCGCAGCAGCGCTCGCAGYGCTGGTGGTGCCGTCAGCTGTGCGGACACATCTGTGTCCACAGCTGGACCAGAAATGACTAAATTCACCCATGTGAATGTCATTGTTTCTCCTGTGAGACACACTGCATCTCAGCCCCCCCAAAATGGGACATAACAACCAAGGTTTGTTCTTTTCAAGGCACTGCTGGGCAAGTGGGAGCTGAGGTGACAGTTTGGGTATGGGGAGAAATCTCAGTTATGGGTCATGCTGCAGCCTCCAGTTCCCTCTTCTGAACAAGGTGGTTTTAAGGCAGTCCAGTCACCCACTAAAGAATGTGAGTTAGAGGGGGATTTTGCCCCCTGTTGTGGCTTTGCCAGCTCTGTGTTATTATAATGAAAGCTTTCCAGCTGGGAGTGACCAAAAATGTCTGYCTTCAAAGGGCAAAGATTGGAGGCYGGTTATGCTAGTRAGGAGGTGATTCTTTACTTGAAACCTGCATCTGAAGAGAAAGGAAAAAATGCTTAGGAATGTCCCTGATTCCAATTTAATTGCTGGAGTGAACAAATAACCAGTTTATTTATGAAATCCTAGAACATAATGAGCAGTGAGCATCAATTTTGCAGAGCAAGACTCACCCAAGAAGCTTTTTAATGTCTTTCTGTGATAGTTGAGCGTTCTGGTGGGGCAGAGGGGTGGGAGCTGATAATGGTTTGTGACACAGCTTTTGCTACCGCTTTGGAAGCTGCTTTTAGGATCAGCCGGGTTTAGATGGAAGGAGGGGAGGCTCCTTCAGCAGCTGCACTCAATGAAGGCATCATCAGTATGGAAATGTCTTCAGGTGGGCTTGCAGGACAAAGTGAGTGAGCAGTGTCAGCTGGGATCACTCGATCCCGATCCCTCCCCGACCCGCTCCTGGGTGTGGGACCTCGGCTGCCGTGCGGGGCCCCAGCCTAGGTTTTGTCAGGGGAAACAGGGACGCTGCCGGAGGTGGGAGTTAGAATCACAGAAGAGGCTGAGTTGGAAGAGACCCAGCAGGATTATCAACTCCAACCCTAGGCCCTGCCCAGGACAACCCAACAATCCCACCCTGTACCCGAAAGCATTGAGAGTGGTGTGGCACAGACCTKCCTAGGCTGGGCTCGATGARCTCAGAGGTCTTTTCCGATCTAATTCATTCTGTGATGCTCAGCYCAGCTGCCCTGTAGGGTAGCGTCCCGGCATTTTAGGCCTTTTCTGGCAACTTTTCTCCCAAAACCACCACTTTTGGCGTGAGGCTTGTCCCAGTCCCTGCTGTCCCGGTGTTTGTCCCGGTGGCCGTCCCCGATCCCAAGCGCGGCTCCACGTGTTCGCTGTCCCGGTGTTTGTCCCGGTGGCCGTCCCCGATCCCAAGCGCGGCTCCACGTGTTCGCTGTCCCGGTGGAGCCCTGCGGGACCCACGTGGAGCCGCGGCGGCGCATGCGCGGTGCAGTCTGCGCCGCTGTGACCGGGCTCACGTAGCGCGCGGCTCGCCCCGCCCCTCTGGGCGTGGCCTAAGGGGGCGTGGCCATGCCGCCTATAAGAGGCGCGGCGGGGCTGGGCGCGCTCAGTCGGTGGAGCCCCCGGGCAGGAGGTGGAGCTGTGGTGCGGACCCCGGCCCGCGCCCCCCGTGCTCTGGTGAGGCCCGGCCGCCCCACAGCGTGCCGGCCGCGGGTGGGTGTGGCGGGTGGGGCAGGGAGAGGGTGCTGCGGGGCCGGGCGGCTGCTGCCGGGGCGGCTGTGGGTGGGGGCGATACGTGGCAGCGCTCCGCCGCTCCCACCTTCCCCGCGACGAGCGGCCGGTGTGCCGGCGGTCCCGGCCGGTGTTCCCGGCCCTTACGTAACGGCAGCCGGCAGCCTCCGGAGGGGGGCGGGAGGGCGCCGCCGCGCCGGCTTCCCCGCGGCTGGCAGACTAAACACAGCCRCCGCCTCCTTCTCCTGCTCTGCCTCCTCCCGTTCCCCGCGCCCGGCGCTGTGCTGGGAGTTGTCCCCCCGAGCTGGGCTCCGTTCCCCGGCTCTCCGGTGGCACAGGTGGCTCCCGCTGCCGGTCCCGCCCCGCCCGTGGCCCCGCTGCTGGTGTCCCTTGTCCGGGAGCGCACGGCTTTGTGCTGGGAGGGATGGAAACTTCTTCGGCGTTAGCACACGCTGTATGCGGGGATTGCCCCCAGGAGTGAAGCTTGTCTTTATTTTCCTCTGCTGCTTTGGGTTGCAGTCAGCCACTTCACGTGGAGTTTTGCATCCACCTTTGTAGTAAGCTATGCCATTCAGTGGGTGTTTTGGTAGGATCTAGCCTGGCTAGCAAGAGAAACTCCAGCCTGGAGCCTTGAGCACGCTGGTGAATATAATGAAATAAAAATGTCATGTGTACTTCGTGGAATAAATCTTTCAGTTTACCTGAAAAGCTGTGYGCTCCCAGAGGAAAGATCTTTTGGGTTTGCAAACGGAAAAGATTGCCCAGCATTCAGTTTCACTTTTTTTCCCCCTGCTTTCATTAAAAGAAGAATGCAGAGCRCTGAAGTGTTCACCTGCTTCTTAAAAGAAAAGGTTCGGTGCTCGAGGTCTTAGTGAATGAAAGGAGCCATTGGTTACAAGGAGTAAATAAATGCAGCTTCCCACAGCGCCAGGGGCTGCTGGCTCGGGATGCAGACAGTGCTGTGCCAGGGGCGGAAARTAAAGGTAATGAGTTCCTGGGTTGTCTGGGAAGCAGAGGCCTGSCTTTGGGGTCAGGGATGTTCTCTGTCCTACTGATCTACATCCACYGCTACTCGTGGACTGTTGCTGGATGGATTTTAATGCCTTGAACTATTTGATTTGACCCGGAGTACTCTGCACTGCTTCTCAAGTATGTGCTGACACAACCAGCACTGATTAACTTTCTTCCTCTTTGTTTTCTTTCCCAAGCCAACTCTGACCTGCTGAGAATTCAGTGTTATTCTGTAATGAATGGCTTTAAAATCTAGCGTTTAAAGCTGTGGTTTTGGGGCTTGCATGTGGATTGCAAAGTGCCCAGTGGGGTTTGAAAAACTCAAATGACAGGCAGTGAGTTACACTTTGGAAGGAGTGAGGATAAGCAGAGGATTGGGGGAGGGAAGCTCTGCCTCTGTGCCGAGGTTGATATAGATGTGGAAACCTTTTTTCTTTCAAAGAGTATGTTCCTTGAAGAAACTCAACTGATCAGTGGGATTGTCCTGCTTTCTTCGTAATCATGCTTAATATCTGAAAACATTGTGTATCTCTCTGTAGATACTCCGCTAATCCTTGAGCAGAAGGAGAGCCTCCTGTTTGTTGTGTCTGATAAGATAATTGCTCTATTCCATCCCCAGTGTTCTTTGTCTTGGCTTGGGAAGTTAAAACAAGTGGGYTCTGAGGGCTGTGTCCATTCAGTCTTAGTCTGGAGGAAATCAAGGCAAAACTTGTTTCAGTTCCTCAAGCACAAATCTCTGTGCAAGCACAACTGCTCTGTATTCAGTCATGAATGTTGTCTTTGCAGTAAACGATATTTAGAGCACCCTTCTTGACTCTAAAACTGGTTCTCACCTTTTATTATGTTATTACATTTTTTTGTATATCATAAATTCTATTACAACTGTGTCATAAGAAGGAGCCTAAAGCATGCCCTGTTCTTTTGGTAGCAGCAATTATAGAAAATCTTTCTTCTCTCATTGCTTGGATCTTAATTTTGAAACAGCCTTTGGATGTGCTGGAGGACTTGGGGACTGCATTCTGGTGCTTCTGTCCTGTGAGACCTTTAAGAAATGATGACAGCTAAATGTTCTTAGTACTTATTTTGGGAAGCTTCTTTCCTTTTCAGTAGTATTTTCGGTCACATTGTGTCATGAGACTGTAACTTGGGTTGTCCTTGAGACAGGAGAGGGTTAGGGCAGTGAGCAGCTATCACTTYTGGTTCCATCTTTCCCATTTCCCCTAAGCTCAGCTGAGCTATTGAAGGGGTTTTATTATTGTTTCACATGTAGTGGGGTCCAATAAGGACTGTGAGAATGGGTACCCATCTTTGAATCAAAAGTTGAGGCTCTTGGTGATACAATTTTGTCTTCTGGCCTTGCAGCAGACTTGATCTTGAGCAGGCCAGTTATTTGTTACCTGAATAAAGAAGCTGGTTTGGAATGAAGTTAGAACTGTTCCATGTTGAAGTACCCCCTCAGTGCCCATTTTTTATCCTGACTTCTGAATCGTGGTAAGCCCCTAGGAGTTCAGAGTTGGCAATGAGGAGACTTGTCTGAGGAGCATTTTCTGGTCACTGATTAGTGGGACCTTGATGGTGATGAGGTTATGTCACTCTGCAGTTTATCTTCACTTGTCTCCTTGCATCTTCTTACTTGTAGAGCAGAGCTGAACACATAAAAAATTCCTCAAAAAAATACTCGAAGTTTCATCAGCAAAAATGTTTGTTTTGTGTTCAGAGAATCCTGTGCTGCACTTGGCAGTGCCATTCCTCTGCTCGCTGCTTTGTTTTACTTCTATGTGTTTGTTTGCTCTTTGCTGTTCCCCCCCCTCCCCACGTCATGTTTTCCTGCTCTGCCACGTTTTGCTGTTTCAAAGCTTAGTAAGTGCACTTTTCCTGGGAAAGCTCCTMTGTTGGAGCTGTCAGCTGTGCTCCCACTCGTGTGCGTGGGCACAGATCCCCTCCTCCCCGAGATGCTCMATATCCATCCTCGTGGGACACGGCTGAGGAGGAGAGCGAGACTGACAGCCATAATGGAGAGAGCATTTTCATCTTGTTTTACTTCGTGTCACCGACAGGAAGAAATCAAAGCCTACTTATCTGGCAGCCTGTGAGTCCGAGAGATTTCCAGCATCTATATGAAGTGAGCTGTGTTTTCTTTGATTCRGGAACCTGTGGCTGAGGCTGCTGCCGGAGTTGGAAAGCTCTGCTCCTTAGCAACTGCTGTCAGGGCAGCGCCAGCTTGGCTGGCCCGGCYGCTGCCCCGGGCTCCCCGGCCAGCTCTGCATTCCGCCTGCCAGGGGAGCAAGCCTGAAAGCTAGTACGGGAGTCTGGGACCTTGCAAATGACAGGAAATCTAGGAAAAGAAACGAAAATCAAGCCGGAGTTGACTTCTGGATGTCGTTGAGCTTAACTTAAATTGGGCGAGCTTGGGGGGGTGTCTGGTTAGGCTGCACATGGGTTCATCCCGTTTCCTTTTGAAATTCTTCCAAGAACGGGAGATCCAATTTCTCTGGGTAGCCTTTTCTAGTGCCTAAGTGTGAGAAACTTCGTGTTTGTGCCTCCTTAGATTCGCCTTTTGTTGCGTTTTGTCGCTGTTGCCAGTATCTCCTGCCTGTGGAGATAAGGAGGTGGGAATAGTGTTGCAACAGGCTTGGAGAAGTCTGGTTTTGGAGAAGGCTGCAAAAGTAGCTGGAGAAGAGGAAAAACAAGATGGAATGTTGTCACTGAGTGCAGTGCACAGAGAGAAAGCATTGCTTTCTTATTTTCAGTGTTTTTTGCTTGTTGGTTTTGCTTTATATTTTTAAAAGTTTAATCTTGATTAATRGTAAGCAACTAAACTTTCTGAAGGTTCTCTTCTGTTTCACCGAGTGCAGKAAACAAATAGCTCAGTGCATTCCCAGTACTGATAAAATTGGCAAATATTTATGGTGTAGTRAAGCTGTTTGTGCTTTGTCACTGATTCACAGATGTATTGGCTCGAGTGAGTGAGCGTTTGGCTGTTTGCAGGGTGAAATAGGAACTGAGTGATGCTTTCAGTGGGAGTGCAGGTACACATCACTGGGGTTTTACAGGTACACATCACTGGGRTTTTATGAGSWATGTTTGAAACAGYCTGATGTMGCCTGTTGGCTGCCCATGGAGGAAGAGGTGAGGAATGCTGCTGGGGACAGCAGGGCTGCTTGAGGGCACTGGTGAGGCTCAAGAGAGGGAAAAGGAGGGCTCCAGGCTTCCCTCTCCAAATTCTCACTTCACAGCTCATTTCTGCCTGTGGATGTGTTGGAATGTGTCAGCCCTTCAGTTGTGGTCGTGCAGATTTCGGGTGATTCACAAGAGTTGGAGGTTGTGCTGCTTTTCTAGGCTGGTGTGAGTTTGCTGTTGGTGCCGGTGCAACTGTGCAGGTCCTGTCCAAGAGGCAGTCCCCAGAATAAATCCAAACCCCAGTGCCTCCCTCTTCCTCTGAGTGCTGGAGSTGGAAAGGAGAGCAGGGACCTGACCCTCAGGGGCAGTTTGAGGAGAAATYCTGCACTCTGGAGTGAGGGATGTGTTCCCTGTTAATACCACCACTTGTGGGTGGGATGGTTTTTATTTGGGTATAACTTTTGAACTCTGCTGATTGTTTGCACCTTTCCTGTGTGAATACCACACCTGCTTTGGTATTGTTTACTTGACAAAAATTATGTTGTTTTCTTCCCTAAATAAGCCAAAACACTTTGTAGCTGAGCTTGTTGCATTTTTGCTTTCTTTTTCTCTTCATTAGTTGTGTTGTTGAAAGAGTTATTTCTGTTAGTAAATGCAGTGCAGTTAATTTTTCTGAGCGGATACAGTACTTCAGAGTCGGAGCTTTTGTTTGGGGGAAAAAGTAAACCTTGTGAATTCCACGACAGCATAATTACTGCTGAAGTATGCAGGAGCCAGGCAATCCTGGGCTGCTAAAGGGATCAGGATCCCGCAAGGCTGAGAGCTTGGCAGCTGGCCCTGCAGAAACACTGCCTGTGAGGCTGCCATGGGCTGRTGGAGGGACAGAGCAGCCTTTTGTGTCAGGTGTGGAGCTTGGCGCATGGTGGCAGCAGCTGAGGAGCAGCACCATGCACACAACTCCCTCTCTGGACTGCTTGTGGAGGGATTTCATTTAGACCTCTTCCACTGGCATCTTTCTGACTGGAAAAAGGCAACATTTTTTTTTTCCATTGAGTGGATGWACTTGATACATGTGTGATTTAGCTTGATGTTACTGGCTTTTTTCAGTGTTGGATGGGGTTTTTCAGTGCTTTTTGCAAAGCAGCTCTGTCTGCAGTGGGACTTAGATGTCAAAAAGAAGAGTTGTGGTGCAGACCCTGTCCCTGAGCAGTTCTTTCTTCTCTTGCCACACAAGGCAGGTATAAGAAACTCAGCAGAAGGGACTCAGTCTGTGAGAGCTGCTGCCTCAAGGAGCAGTGGCAGCCCCAAGAGATTGAGCTGCCCCTTCTGMAGGTGGATTCATCTCTCTGGTGAGCAGGGATGTTTCATCTGTTTTGTGTTTCTCTCACAGGTGTGTGGTGAGGTGAGAGCTGCTGAGCAATGGTGTTTAAGAAGGTTTGGTGTGCCCTAGCCCTGGGATTTCTGCTGCCTTTCTCTTGTGCCCACACAGACTTCTTCACTTCCATTGGTGAGACCTGCTTTGGTGTAACCAAGAGACTTTCTTGACAGCCCTCAAAACTGATTCTGCAATGGTGTGTTAATCATCCAAGGCCTTAATTTGTACAAAACTAAACCCAATTCCTAGTTCTTACCACATTATTGACTTTTCTTTTGGGAAACATGCTTTGAAAGTCAGTTCAGGGGCAGTCTAAGGACCCAAGCTAGGCTTTGTGGTCACTATTTATTCTTGCAGGTGTTGGGATTTAAATGGAATTTTGGTGTTGCACACATGTGGAAGGAAGCAGTGCAGGATACATAATGGTGCAGGATGTCTGTACTTGCCCTGGGGTTCTGGTGGGCATTGTACCCCTGTGTGAACCATTTCAGCTGCCTGCTTGCAGGAGGTGAAGCAGTTATTAATTAATAGCAGGGATCCCTTGAAATCATGGATATAATCTTAAAAATAAAGTCCTGGACTAGTGTTGTGTATCAAACATGAAGGCTCTGTGTGTTTCTGTAGCTTTCTCTTTATTTGCTCTCCATTATGTATGCTTGGGTGAAAGATTGCTCTGTGGCAAACTACTTCCCTTTCCAAATGAATCCTAAATCAGTTTTAATAATAAATATGCAGCATTACATTAATTTCCATAGCAACAAGCTTGGTCCAGAAGGAGATTTTCTCCTTCAAAGAAAAGTAAAAGGTCTTGCTCAAATGTTCCTTTAGGGCTTTTTAAGTAAATTCAGAAAGACTTTTGGGGAAGGAAGAGTTGTAGAAGAGAAGAAAGTAGAAAAGAGGAAGAATGCTTTAWTTCTCAGGGGTTTGTGTTTCTCCTTGACTCACCAAATTAATTTTTTCMTAGGTCATATGACAGACTTAATTAATACAGAAAAAGATCTCGTTGTGTCACTCAAAGATTACATCAAGGCAGAGGAAAGCAAGCTGGAGCAGATAAAAAAGTAAGCAGCAGTTGGTTTCCTAATGCTAATGGTTAATAATTTGAGTCCATCATTATGCAAAAAGTGCTTCCYAAGGCTGATTAAATGAGTGGAATTTTTCTCTGGGGCAGAGCTTAAAGTAGCAGGTTTTGCTGGGTGCTTGTTGTGAGTTGTTCTCTTTGAGCACTGCTTGATGTATAAATGAGACCTGACCTTGCGAGGACCAGAGCTCAACATGTCATATTTTATCACAGCTAGAAATAGACATATTTTATCACTGAACAGGGTGGTTTCCTTGCTTTCAGAAAYACATATAAATCTGTCTTGAGGATGTTAAAATAGGTCTAAATGGAGGGATGTTTTTTATTTAGGCTTTGCCTATTACTTTCTGTTGTTCCACCATCCAGGAAGAAAGATACTTTTTTATATTTATCACTTAAAATACAGAGCTGGAATTGTTGACAGGTTTGGAATGTTACAAGTGTATTCTTTTCAGCTACAAATTAACATGGGAACGCCCAGCTGGGCATCCAAAAGTGTGTAAATGCAGTTTATTGTAGAAGCATTGCAACTCTGTTATATCACAGGCTCTTCCTATCAGGTCAGAAAAGTCTAAATAACTGTCACAGAGAGATTAAAGAACCTGAAAGAAAATGCCAGCGTTGTTTGTTGGCATCTGAAGGATTTTGGGAGTTGGTATTCACTGAAACTCATTGAAAACAATTAGGGACAGGGTGGGAAGAGCAAACTGGAGCACTTGTGACAGCTGCAAACACCTCCCTGTGCCAGGTAAAACCTGCACGATTGATCCAGGCAAACCAGAAAAAGAGTTCCCTCCAGGCTACAGATGGTGTGTTTGCTTTATTGTTGGAGTTTGGGATTCTCTGTTGGGTGTGGCTCTTTAGCATCAATTTACCCTGATTGCAGGGCGTTGCTGCAGCTTTCGTGCTGTAGATCTGCTTGGGGTTTTTTTTGAAAGCTGTGCTTGTTTTGGGGCGCTTGGGGTTGGGAATGACTTGTGGCACTTAGAGAAATTTGAGTTGCCACTGCAGCACCAGAAACTGGATCTGGGCTGCTCATTTGGGACTGTGAGAATTACCTGTTTCTTAATCCATCCAAGCTTTCAGCATGGAAAGGAGCTTTGTGGTGAGAAGCAAGGGGCGTCTCACACATMTAAGAGTGTTGTCTAAACCTAAAACAATTTGAAACAAACATTGAACTGCCTTTTTGTAAGCTTTGGGGGGGAAAAAGGGGGCATTTAAAAGATTGAAAATGTGGGTAAAGCTTTGTTTTTGATTAGTCCTGCGTGACAGCTCATAATGGAAGTGCTGGCACAGTGCTTTTGGGGYTTGTAGGAAGGAGTTCCTTCAGCAGGTTCCGACAAAGGCCACAAGAGCAGCGCAAGATTTGGGCTGCAGCTGAGGAGGAAGCTTTAATAAAAAAATAAAATAGCACTTTTTGTTCCTTTTAGAAGAGTTCTAAATATAAATAACGTAGAAGCTTGCAATTTTGGGGGTTTTTATTGGTGAAGAAACTTAAGTAGCTTGAAATCAGTTCTCTAGCACACCAGCAGATTTTTGCAAGGCTTAAATGAATATTTTCCTTACAGATGGGCAGAGAAGCTGGATCAGCTGACAGATACTGCCACAAAAGACCCAGAGGGGTTTTTGGGCCATCCTGTGAATGCATTCAAGCTGATGAAACGGCTCAACACGGAGTGGGGCGAGCTGGAGAGCCTGGTGCTGAAGGACATGTCAGATGGTGAGTGTGCCTGCAGCAAAACCCAGCATCACAGGCTCACTGCWGTTCCTGGCTGCTGCCTTTCACATGTCAGGGGTTGAATTAGATTTGCAAATCTGCTTTTGAGGCTGAGCATTYGTGGAACTAATCTGAATGACTGTAGTAAACATTCAGTTGCTGCCTCATTTCTTCRGCAAGAGTGAAAGCTCTTTTGCAAGGAACAGAACATGAAATAKTTGGCTGTGAAAGACATTTAGCAAAAGGAAGCTAGGATGGGTATATTTGACCTGTGAGACTGTCTCAACAGCTAATTAATACCAGGTGGAGCTTTGTCATAAGGAATTAGAAAAAAGCAGAGCTTTCAAAAAAAAAAAAAACCCCAGGATTAGTCTGTTATAAGGATTCAGCACATTCAGCTTCCCTGTTGCTGAGTGGGACTGAATATGGCAGCTGAAAAGGCTCTGCACCTGCCAGCTGGAAATCTGCACCAGTGTGTCTTAAACCCTTCTGAATGAGCAGGCTAAAAGAAAAGTGTTTGCTTCTGATTRTTCCTTTGCTTTCTTTAAAAGAAAACAAAAAAAGAACCCCTAAAAGAGCCCAAACAAACCTGTGCAGCCCGTGCCATGAGCTGAGTTCAGACTTGTGTGAAGGTGGCTCTTGGCTTTCCTTGGAGCAGGGAGTTTATACAGTTCCCAGGACAGAGGTGACCACGTGTTCCCATCTTTCCAGGCTTTATCTCCAACATGACAATCCAGAGGCAGTTCTTCCCCAATGATGAGGATCAGACTGGTGCAGCCAAAGCTCTTCTGCGGCTCCAGGACACCTACAACCTGGACACAGACACCCTCTCCAGAGGGAACCTGCCAGGTAAGAGCCATCTGTCCTCATTTTATCCATTTCCTGAATGTCCTGTTACAAATCATTTGGTCTGTTCCACCTTGTTCAACTGCTCAGCTTGAGGGGAACATTAGAAAAGGGTTAGAGCTGGCTAAAATTAATGAAAAAAGGTGGTGTTTTTTTTTTGTTGAAATCGGCAACTTTCTTCTAGTTATGGTAAAATAATCTAGTGTTAATAGTTTTTAATAAAAATAGCAATAAAATCTTGCCCAGGTGAGGGTTTTCCTTGTGTCACACTGGCAGATACCTGGTTTTATTGCACAACTCAGTGCATTTCAACAAGTTCCTTTGAATTTAAACTTTAGGGATTATATGAACTGAAGAGCAAAAGATGGTGCATACACAGACCTGAGCTGATCTCTAATAGGGTGCTCTGTGCAGGAGAAGACACAGCTTGTTTTTTTATCAGAAAACTTTCTCTGCTGAGTCTTCCTTGTTTCCTCTGTTCAAAAATAGTCCTGTGCCAGCTGGCAAAAAATCAGCTCTGTACAATCCATCTGTGTTTTTGCAAGTGCTCATTGTGGTCAGATGCCTAATAAAATTAGGGCTAATTGGCTTTATGTGTTATGATGTATAACCTTGCTTTTGGGTTTGGTTCAAGCCCTTCTCAAGGACCTACATATTCTTTCTCTTACAATAAGGAGCTTGTTGCTGTTTTCTTCAAACAGCCAAAAAATACAAAGTGAGGTTTTGCTGCTTTTAAAGCACTGAGCTGTTCAGACTGTGTGCAGTTAAGTGTAATGGCAGAACCTAGAAATTTTGGAGTATAAAGGAGAATAGGTTGGACTCTGGAGAGCTCCAGGGGGAACTTCCCATGTGGTTGCTTGTTTGTGCTCCTTTTCTTCTTTCCAATCGAATTTCATTTGGTCCAGAATCTCAGCTACTGCCAAATGTTTGTGTCCTTTGAGTTTGCAGCTTCAGGTTCAGGAAACTGCAGTTGCTGCCCATCACAGGATGGAGCACAAGGTGTTTAGTGAAAGGAGCAGGAATGAACAGCAGAACAGCTGCCCTGTTTGAGCACTGCAGAGCTGCTGTGAGAAATTCAGACTGGATTAAGATGTAATCAGGGAGGTAATTTTAGCTGTAACACTGGCAGGTCCTGTTTCCTTTTTACAAGATAAAATTTGGTTTTTCATAGGGCCTGTATTTCCAGAGGCAAAAATAGGAATCTGTAATTTGCCTACTAGTGCTTTAATCTTTCAGAGGTTGCTTAAAATGTTTCTAAAAAYGACTGACTTGAAAAAATTTCAAGCAGCTGGGAATTTACTCTCTGATCTTTTCCTTTTCCTCCCCCACCAAGGCGTCACTGACAGGTTGTGATTCAGTAACTTTTTGAAAGAGATAATGGGACATCCTTGAAAACAGTTCTGAAACTTCCTATTTGGCTGCTTTTTGCTCTTGCTCGAAGTGGTTGGGGTTTTGAGGAAGGAAGGTTTGTGTAATTTGATTTTTTTTGCTCGTGGTAGAGACATTTAGCTGTTTGCTGGTATTCTGGCAATGGAAAACTGCATCTGAGTGCTTGTGTGCCAAGGATTTACAGGCTTTAGAGACTTGAACAAATAGCTACCGCAGAAGGGAGCTGTGGGAGAGCAGAAATAAAATCCTGCTGTGAGCAGTGAGAAATAACTCGAATGTTTCTCTGAGGACCTCTCTGGAATCCGTGTAAACTCCACTTGTTTTGTTTTCCACCCCCAGGTGTGAAGCACAAATCCTTTCTAACAGCTGAGGATTGCTTTGAGCTGGGGAAGATTGCCTACACGGAGGCTGACTACTACCACACGGAGCTGTGGATGGAGCAAGCCCTGAAGCAGCTGGACGAGGGAGAAGTGTCCTCTGCAGACAAAGTTTACATCCTGGACTACCTGAGCTATGCTGTGTACCAGCAGGGGGACCTGGGCAAGGCCATGGCGCTCACCAGGCGCCTCCTGGAACTGGGTATGGGGGACAGGGACCCTGCTCTGGGGGTTTGTCCTGGGGAGGGCAGCCTGGCCTGGACTCTGTGTAGAAGCATTTTTAAAGGGCATTTTTACTTTTGTAGATGGGAATTTGCTCCTCTCTACTGGAGGGTTTTCTGCCTCCTGTTGGCTTCTATTCCTTTACCCATCTTAGTCACTGCTGCCTGAAATTTGGTTCTCTCCCTACATTTTGCTTTCCTGAGTTGACATTACTTCCCCTTAGGTAGAGGCAAAGCCAAAATTAGTGAAATGGAAACCTGTATTGGTGATACTGAAATCTCTGCAGATGATTTACATACAAATTCAGCATGCTGAAGATGAAAATCTTGGAAAAACAAGCAATGCAGAATACAAGACAGTGAGATAAGAGTCTGTTTCATGAAAAATGAAAGTATTTATTCTGTAAATACTCCACTGATTAACTGTGTAAAGGATGCCCTGGGAAGATSAGAACTATCCCTAACATAGCAAGAGAAGATAATGAAAGGCTACTGAGAGCCATTTATTTAATTCCYGAAGCTAATTCTGTAAGGTAAAAAGCTTTGTCACCAGAAATCTTAAATCCCACCAGGGAATYTTCAGGTTTGCAGCCAGTCATGCTGTTCCAGCTCTCTTCCTCTCCCATTCCTTTGTCTCTCTAGTGAGAGAGGCTGGAATGGCCAAACCCTTTTCCCTAGTGCTGGAATACCCATGTGCAGTGAGGGTTTGAGAAGCAGTTGTGTTGCATCTGTTTCCTTTTGCTTTCTGTAAATAACCATTTCTGGATGATTCCTCCCTGGAAACCTGCCAGTGATCCCCGTCTGCTTCTCTGTCAATAGATCCTGAACATCAAAGAGCAAATGGRAACATGAAATACTTTGAATACATCATGGCCAAAGAAAAAGAAGCTAACAAATCCAGCACGGATTCAGAAGACCAGCAGGAGAAGGAAACTGAGGTTAAGAAAAAGGATTACCTGCCCGAGAGAAGGAAGTACGAAATGCTGTGCCGTGGGGAGGGGCTCAAAATGGTAAAGTGGAGTAGACTGTTCTCAAATGTTTGAAACCAAACAATGTCAGGAATTTGTGTGTGGTGTGGAAGTGAGGAAGTTGTYAGAGCAGCTGGATGAGTGTGCAGAGTTGAGGATCCCGTGTTGGATTTCTTCCCTGTTTCAGTCTTGTCCAGTAGACAGAAAGTAACACTGCCCCAGGCTCTGCTGGGGATGTGCTTGGATGTGCTCCATCACTGTAATTAATTGAATAAGGATGTTGGAACTCTGGGGTTACATACAGAATTAAATAAGGGTGGTTTTTTGTGATGAAATTATTTTACTGAGGTTGGTGAAGTAATGCTCGTTGCAGTGTTGTACAGCAACATTAACATGCAGACAGTACTGACYTCTCAAAAAAGAGAAAAAAGAGAAAGCATTTCTCTAACCTGTGATGTAACAAGGTGGGGAGAGTGAATGGTTTGAGTGCCCAAAAGATGCTCTGTTCCCTGGAGATGCCAATATCCCTGGGAGTTCTGACTCCCCCTCGCTGTGCCTCCCTTGCAGACCCCSCGGAGACAAAAGAGGCTCTTCTGCCGCTACTACGACGGCAACAGGAACCCCCGGTACATCCTGGGGCCTGTCAAGCAGGAGGATGAGTGGGACAAACCCCGCATCGTTCGCTTCCTGGACATCATCTCCGACGAGGAGATYGAGACCGTGAAGGAGCTGGCCAAGCCCAGGGTAAATGCTTTACACTGCCTGAATTCCATGGTGTGAGTGTGTGTGGCTGTCTCCTCTGGCATGCAGGGTGTGTGCAGTGCACTCACACCTTGTTTTCCTCACCTGGCAGCTGTTGGTGACACTCTTTAAAGGAGACTGGGAAAGCTGGGAATTCTCTGTGATGACTGGAGCGAGGTGACAGCAGTGCAGGATTGTCAGGCTCTTCCAGCAGACACAATTTTAGCTGGAGAATGTTCTCCAACAGAAAACAAACATTTTGCAGTGAGGGTGTATAGGACTATTCCTGACTTTTGTTGGGTTTTCTGGCTTTGATTTTTCCTTTCTAATTGTGGAAGAGAAAGGCAGTCATTCCTCTGGCTGGAATGTCACCTGACTGTATAGACAAGAAAGAATGGTTGTATTTTCCCATTTTGGTATAAAACTGACTTTGGTCTCTCAGGCTTAGAAGTTGCCTGCAGATGAAGGAGCACCTGAATCAGTGATTTTTGCATTTTTATTGACAATGGTGGCTCATCAGCCCTGTTTCAGACACTGGATGCAAAGGTTTTTGTTTCTGAGTCAGGAGTAAAGCAGGGCAGCTCCACTGTCTCAGAAAACAGGCAAACAGCCAACTGATGGAGTTGCCTTCTGTATCCAGTTGGTGCAACTCTGCATCTACAAATGTACTTARGAGATGTAGTTAGTTAAATTAATTTTTTCCCATTCATTATCTACGACTTCTAAAACAAGATTTAAACTCATAGAAATGTAATTCGCCTGTTTTTTTTTCCTTTGCTTTTGGCCTAAATGGCTTTTTGTCCAGAACGAGCCGAGCAGATGGAGATAAGGATGGAGGGGAATAAGAGCATTCAGTGCAGGAGAAGCTGCTGGCTTGGCATGCTGTGAGGTGGAGCAGCTGTTCATGGGCACCCGGGGGGTGAGGCTGTCCTTGGCCACTGCCCTGCCTGCTGGGGAACCTCAAGGAGATCTTCAGGCCTCCTGAAGCCTAATGTGTTGGACATTGCAGTGAAATTCTTCCCAAAGTTTGTCAGGCTGAAGGGACTGCCCAGGGAGGTGACAGGGTCCCCATCCCTGGAGGTGTCTGAGGAAGGCCTGGATGTGGCACTCTGGACACTCAGGTGGGGATTGATCAAAGGCTGGACTCTATTTTGGAGGTCTTTTCCAACCTCGGTGATTCTGTTCTGAGGTTTCTGAGGTAACATTGTGAGCTGTTAGCAGGAAGTAGAAGTTTTTCCCTTCACAAACCTGAGGCATCTCCTGCTCCCCTGCCAGGCAGCTTTGCTGCAGAACTGAAAATCAGCCCCCTCCCATTGTTGGTCTGTTGGTGTTGAGAGCCCTTTGCTTGTGCATGCTGCCATTGCACCTGTGGAATGTGACCAAAGCACTGTTTTACCGAGTAGACAATCTGTAAATGTGTGACTGTAAGCTCTGAACTTGCTGAGGTCGTTGTTTTCCTGTCAAACATTCAGCTCAAAGACCTTTAACACAGGAGCATCTGTATGCAGTTCCTGTTCCACTTATTCCCTGTGGCTGAGCCTTGCACGGCTCAGCAGCTGAAGGGCTGTTTTTTTGGAGACTGAAAGGTCATCTCCTCCTTGCTGATGCTCAGGATGCTGCAATCCTCTGGGAAGAGACAATGCTGGCTGATCTGTGCCCAGCCTTCTGCCGTGCTGGCAGGATGAAACCTCGTTACTCAGCTCTGGAGTCTCTCTGGAATTGCAGTTTGTGCCTTGGTTTTTTATGTGTCTGCAGGGGAGGAGAGCCGAGGCTGCAGACTGGGAGCTCCCAGTATCTTTTGTCAGTAGGTGTGGAGAGGCCTTGGTTTGTTTAGTTTATTTTAAAAGTAAAAAAATCCTTGGAATTGGGGCTTGGTATGACATTGTGGCTGTTCCAAAATTGGGGCTCTGCACCTCAGCCTTTCCAGCTATGAGTGATGGAGAGTGTCTGGCAGTGTGTGAGCAGTTAAAGGGTGCATGTGAATTCTGAGGTGGAATATTGACCCAGATGGGAAGGCACAGAGTAAATGGAGCACAGCAGAGGGGAAGGCCTTGAGCCAGGAGTTCCCACTCTGTGTAAACGTGATTGTGGGTAAAGCAAAAGTTCGTGTGAGCACAAAGGAGTTCAGTGCTGCTTTTGGTACAGGAAGAACCAAAAAGGAAGGGTTTATTCACCTTTGGCTTATGGTGCTGCCTGGATTTGTTGTAGCTGTCACACTCCTTGTGCAGGGGCAGGACGGTGTCACAAAGCACCAGCTGTACATGTGCCACACCGCTCTGCTGCTCCCAGCAGTTGTTGCCATGCAAAAAAAATAAAGTTGGCTTTAGTCAGACAACTGTTCTTGCTACACACCTGGAAAAGGGACTTGTGGAAAACCTCAATAAAAACCTGGGCAAGAGACCTTTCTTGTAGTAAGACTGGAGCCTCCCCTGGCTGCCTCCCACCCCTGGAGCAGCGGTGGCGGGGCGGTGGCGGTGGCTCTGGTGTCCCCCCTCCCCAGGCTTCTGAATGGTCGGATTGCTGGCATGCAGATTGTGCTTGTAATGCAACTTCTGATGGTTCGCTTCACAGCTGAGGCGAGCCACCATTTCAAACCCCATAACGGGAGCCTTGGAGACGGCACATTACAGAATTAGCAAAAGGTAAGAGAGCTCTATGCCAGAGGTTTTGGGCCTGTAATGAGTGTGTACGTCCTGCTCGTTATGGGGAAGCAAGAGGTTGGCTGAAGAGACAACTGTGTAGTCCACCATGTGATTATTCCATGAGATCTGTAACCGGCTGTTACTGCTGAGTTTCTCAGTCTTTTCCTTCAGCTGGAAGTTCTGGGGGCGTGTTTTGATTTGTTCTTTCCTTTTTGGTCGCCTTCTCAGTGTGTGTTTTTCAAGCAAGTCTCTACAGTCAGTGTGAGAAATACAAGATGCTCCAAAACCTTCAGTAAAATCTGGTTTTTGTTTTTAATCTATATATTCCTTTCCCCTTGCTCTTCTCACCAACCAAGTATTGTCCTCCCTTCCTTTAGAAAATGTAGCAGACCTTGAAGTGCCTTTAGGAGTGTAAGAGATGCTTCAGGTCCTTGCTGTGCTCACAAACACATCTCCTTGTCCAAGATAATCCCACACTCCCAGCTGGGCTCCTTTACCTCCTGCCTGACACAAACCTGGCAGAACACAGGCTCGTTTCCACAGGGCTTCTGGTTCTTTTCAGCTTGTCTGTTAAGCACCACACGTGCTGAATTTAGCCAGTTTTTTTTTCCAAAATTGGCTGTATCTGAAAGAAACCACCTGCCCCTGCCTGCCCTCCCCTGGTTTTAGCTGTGGTAATTAAAGATTGGCTGCACAGGCCATCAGCACTGAGCCAAAATTCTGGGATGAGTTAAACTTCTGGGTGAGGAGGAATTGTCTGGGAAACTCAGCATCATAAATTACTTGCAGAAAGTCTTGATTTTAAACAAAAAAAAAAAAAAAGGGAGGAAAAAAGTGAAAGGACAATCCAACCAAATTATTCCAACCAATTTGTTGTGATTTGGACATGGCAGCTGCAGCTTGTGTTGCCCTTCCAACCATTGCTAATTTGCGAGCATCGCATCCGCACCAATCAGAACCCTTTGAACACCTGGGGCTTGGCCAAAACGCAGCCTGCGAGGTGGGTAAGCCTTGTCCTTTCTCTTTTTGTAGCTGAGCCGTGCTACTGTTCATGACCCTGAGACTGGCAAACTGACCACAGCACATTACAGAGTCTCTAAGAGGTAAGGGCAAGGGATTCCTTGTGAGGAACTGTGTCCTGGGCTGTGCCGCTTCAGCGCTCAATGTGGGCAAGGATTTTGTGTAACTTCTCTCATTCTCCAGCCTTTCTTGCCAAGAGAGTGGTGGAAGTGCCCTCTGTGGCTGAGCATGGCTTGTTGCTGTCACTAACATACTAAACATGGGTGTGGGGCACCTGCCTGGCTCCCCTCTGCTCCTCAGCTTCAGTGCCCACCCCTGCTCAGAGCCAGGAGCTGCTGGCATTCCTGCCAACACTGCACATTCAAGCTAGCTGATGGATTTAAGGGGTTTTCTTGGTGAAATGATGGAATGTGGTTGCTGCTTGAATAGGAACCCAGTGTTCTTCCAGCTGCTTTGAACAAACCCCTGAACTTGCAATGGCCTGGAGCTGATGGGCTTTAATTTGATTTTTCTTCAGTAAGGTCTGATGCTTCAGATATATGCTTCCAGATATAGGATCACAGGAAGGTGATAAGATTCAGAAATGATGATGAGTCTCAGAAAAAGGGGAAAACCATTGGAGTCAAGGTCCTTAAGGCCACTCCAGTGGCAAGTTGAAAATATTTATTTTTATCCCTTGCACCTTTGCAGCCTGTGTGCTCACTGTCATGTGCAGGTAGTGGGAATCCTTTCRAAATTGTCAGGGTAGCTCTTATGTGTTTGCTTCTTTGAACTGCCCCCACAGAGTGACTTTAGGAGCATTTGTCTTCCTGTTGGATGTGTGTTGCATTTAATTTTTATTTCTTGTTTTTAACGTTCAGTTCTGTCTGTGTCTTACCTCCCTTGGTTATTTGTCACTGTGTATTTTAAAGGCTTCATTTATTCACTTGTGGGGTTTTTCCTCTGTGCCAGACAGCTCGGGGGTATTACTGAGGAATCTCCTTCATCCATTCCAACATCCCCTCATGTCAAACTTGATGTGCTAATGATAGGAATGRGAGAAGGTGACCAGATTACTAATGGAATTTGGGATGCATAATTGGTCCCTATTTAAATASATGRGGCTTAGTGAAAGAACTTYTTATTTAGAGTTGTGATTTTTCATTAGTAGGAAGTGCTAGTCCCTAAGGTATTGCAGATGCCATAGTCAGAAAAAATAGGACAAGGCACCACCCAGCATTAAAGGCCAATTAAAAACCCAGGAYAGACCCTGGGGAATGGGATTCTTCAATTCTTAATAAGGTTCGGTGCTCAAAAATGTGGCACTGGGGACTTTCTTCCAATGTACCCAAGGAACTCTTAGAATTAAACCACATTTTACTAAGTTTTTAARTTCAGTATCTCACTGGAAACTGGAATTAAAATTGTAGAGAAACATCCAAGAAGTTGGGGAAGACAACTTTTTTAGGGTAGGAAAAGCTTTGAGGGTGGAGAGGGACTGCCCTTCTCCTGCTTTCCCTTGCCTTTGCTTTCCTCCATGTGCAGATTTGCAGGATGGGCATGGACTTTCCAAGAGAAYATGACACCTAAATGTGGAGTAGGAGGCAGGAGCCACCCCCACCAGCCTGATTTAGAGGGCCTGTGCTGTTCCTGCTGCTCTCCTGCACTGCCAGAAACATCTTTCCCTTGGAGCTGCRAGAGCCGGTTCAGATTCCGGATGAATCATTGCTCCTGAAAACCAAAAAATGCTCGCTTTTATTTTTATTTTTTTAATAGATGACTGCTTTCTTCCTCTAAGCATTCCTTCTTAGCACATGCCCTCCTCAATTCCAGCATTCCTGTCTCTCAGAGAGCTACTGTTCCCTCGGTGGGACGTGGCAGCTCTGTGGAGGGGGCACCTTGCCAGCAGCACCGAGCCGTGTGCGCGGCACCAGGATAAACCCACCCACTCACACGCTGCTTTTCAAGAGAAAAACTGCCTTTTTCTCCCCTTCTCTCCTCCCAGCAGGCAGCCAGGGCTTGTAGCACGGACTGTTAAAAGTTTCCATTTCAGAAATACCAGGCTGGGCTTCTATTTGCTCCGTGTTGTGTCTCTGCTGGTACATTTTTGCACACTGAGTGCAGTTTAGAAGGCTTGCAAACATAAATACCAATATTTTGTGGCCATTGAGTTACAGAAGTAGTGTTGGGATGTAATGGCTACTCCTAGACTGACCAGTGGAGCTGAGGAGATGAGATTTTTGAATTTTGTATGTTCAGYAGCTCCAGAGAATTGTCTGTTTTTCCCTTAATGTACTGCTTAGTCTACAGTTAATTCTGTATGGAAGCATGTTGCCAGTAAAGATCTCTTAAGGTGCCCTATGCAGAATTTATTAGGGAGGAATATGGGACATTTTTGTGGCTGCCCCTTCCCTGGSAGTGTCCAAGGCCAGGCTGGACARGGCTTGGAGCAGTCTGGGATAGTGGAAGGTGTCCCTGCCCGKGGCAGGGGGTGGRATGGGATGAGCTTTTAAGGTCCCTTCCAACCCTTCYGTTTTTTGATTCCATGACTCAATGTGATTACTCCTGTCTGTAATGCATCTAAAAGTCATTACAAGCCCCTCCAGTGTGGATTCAGCACGTTAATGGAAGTGTTCCACTTTTATAACCTACTGACTTTGTTCAGGGATGGTTTTTCTCACAGCCAAGTGGGTCAGCAAAACACCAAACTTGTGTGGTCAGGGAGCTGTGAGGGGTTGTGTGGTGGTTGTTAAGGAAATAACAAATCCTTCTGTCAGTAAATCAGGGGTGTCTTGAACTGCCCTGCCTGTGGCTTCCCAGGAATTGTCCCTTTTTTTGTTAGGAAGTTTTCTCCCCATTGTGGACTTGGAGGTGGCAGCTGAGTCAAAAATATGATAGMATGCAGTCAAATTTGATAGAACCTGTCAAATGGTCTCATCTGACAGATGCTTGTGAAGAGCAGAGCTGTGTGCTGAAGCTGSAAGTATGTAAATATTGAAGAAAACRTGTTGCTGAGCATGTTTAAGGCTGTTAATGCTCAATCTCCTGCMCACTGGTGAGGGGAGTCTCTTTCTCATTTTTGATAGACAAGGGCAGGAAAAAACCCAGTTTGTCATGATTGAGGCAGAGACTTTCATCAGAAGGCTAAGGCAGCACAAGAGGAGGGAGTGTGGGACAGAGGGGAATATTCTGTGAGCAGGCAAAGCCATGGATACAGTTTTCATGACACCTCCAGGGTTAAATCCCTGCAGCACTCCAGGCCTCCCTGTGGTTTTGCTCAGCACCCAGCAGACTGGCTGGCACTTGGAATGTGGTTTCAGTTCCYTGCTCCTCCACCTTTCATAGGCTTTCTTTGTATGCCCAGGCAATTAATTTTATTTTTAAAATATATACAGTACTTCCCTTCCTGAAAGGCTGCARTATTCTCCCTCGTGAAGCATTCATTGCCACTCTTAAATAACCAACAGAGCAAGAAYGCTTGAGTTTTTATTTCTTTGGGTTCTTTTGGTTTTTTTTTTTTCCTTGAAGCCTTTATTAACGGACTGGACAGAGGCAGAGAGAGCCTACACTGCAGCTGATGGGTGTGTTGGGGTTTTTCTTGTGCCTTAAATGTGAAATTAGGGCAGCTTGTGAGCATTACCTGGTCACTGTGGCTTGCAGCATGGCTGCTTTTTGRGGTTTTTATTTGATAACTGCTTCATATCCGTGTCTGCATTCTTCTGCCTCCTGAAATCAAAGCAGGCTGTGTTGTAACCCCTCCTTGTACTAACAGTGTTCAGCAGTGGATGGGGCTGTGGATGTGTTTGTGCATGTCTGTCCTGAGAAATCTGATTCTTTTATAGTTCATTTGTCATTTTGAAAAATGCTCGTAGAGATTCTGTAACTGTGTCAGTGCCTTGTGTCATGTGTCATGCTACTCTTCCTCCCAAGAAAAAGAGTTGGGGATTTATTTTTTTATTTAAATACAAATTAAAGGAAGGTTGATTTGAGTAAAAATATATTGATGCTGCTACTGATGGTTTCCAGCTGGGCTCTAGGCACAGGGATTTCTGTCCAGCAGGAAGCACTGCTGAGCCCCAAAGCTGAGTCAGCAGCTAGRAAAAAAAGGTAGAAATAGCTGTCTCTATTTTCCTGCCAAAAAAAAAAAGGGAAAAACGAGCCCCGAATCATCAATATTATCACCCATATTAGTGCAGTGGGCTGCCAGGGTAAAATGAAGRTGCAGGGGCTAGCATGGGATGAGCAGAGCTGCAATCAGACATCAGGTAAGCAGATGGTGAAAAAGAAAAGGAAAAAAATGCAGTGTTTGTAGCTGAAAAAACTGTAATATGTGGTAGGAGGCAAACATTTTGAAAGATGCCTTTAGAACTGCGGCTGACATTCCATATTTATATTTAAAACAAACAAAAAGTGTTTGGGTTCCCCCTCCCCCCCCTTCAAAATTTCACTGAAGCATACCCTAAATACCAGAATTGTAATAGGCTGTTCCGGTAGAAATTGTTCATTTAATGCCTTATTTAATTGTTTTTAGAACTATTTTTAGTAGCATTGCAGGGGTGTGTAGTGAGAAAGGGCAGCTCCCAGAGCTGTGACATTTGGGGAGCTGGGTTACAGCTACACAGACAAATAAAGTAACTCACTTATTCCTTCCCAAATCTTGCTTCAAAATGCATCACCTGATAAAAGCAAAACTCTGTGTGTCTGGTTTAGAAAACAGCCTGAAGCACATTTATTTCACTGTTTGGAACATTTCCTTCAGTCCAGTGTGGGATTTCAGGCCCTTAGTGATCGAGCTCCCTTAGACTGATCCCAGCAGAGGTTTTTCTGGAAAACATGAAATTGAGGGCTTTGGAAATACTTCTGGTCACGCTCCCAAATTGCTGAAAAGTCCTAAACTCAAGTCAGGTTGTCAGCAGTTGCAAGTTGCCTGTTGCTGTCCCTTGTCACTAACTGTGCCCCCACTCAGCGCGTGGCTGTCGGGGTACGAGAGCCCGGTGGTGTCCCGCATCAACACCAGGATCCAGGACCTGACAGGGCTGGATGTCTCCACTGCAGAGGAGCTGCAGGTAAGAGGCAGCAGGGGTTTGGTGCTGATGTCAGGCAGCATTTCAGCACCTCACTGGGGTGGCCACAAAATCTCATTTATTTACAGACGTGAAGAAACAAAGGTGTCTGCAGAGCAGCTTCCAGTGGGAAATGGCTTTCTGGGGCTGGAAGGAAATAGTGATCACAGCCAGAGTTCTAGTTTAATTCCTTCTTATATAGACAGATAAACTGTGTTTCATGGCTGCAGGGTCAAACTTTGCTTCTGTTGKAGACGGTTAAAAGTTTAGCCTGACTTGTACTCAAGGAAGGCCACCAGTGTGCCTGGTGTCCCTGGGCTGTGGGAAACATTGGCTGTGTGTATAACTTGAGGAAATGGTGATTTAGGAGTGCTTTTGTTTATACGTTTGAGGCCTTTAAATGAGCAGCTGCTTCCCTGACTGTGAGCAGAGTGTGAGTACCTARAAAGCAGGACACCCACAAAGTGGTTCAGAAACCTTCTCTGTCAAGGTTCTTGGTGATAAAAGGGCCAAGGAATCTGGTTAAAAATTGAGGTTATTTTTTTATAATCCATTGGCAAGAAGAACAGGGAATCCGCTTCATTGACACAGTCAAATTTAGGTCAAAAAGTGGTTTAAATCTGATGGCAGCATGACATGTTTTGAAGAGAACAGAGGCTGAAAAGTTTTCTGTAGAAGAAAAACACTTTTCTGTCCAGGGAAGTACCAGATTCCTTACCTGGAGCTGCTGCATCCTGCATTTCCAGCCTTGGATGTGCTCCTGTAGCTGACAGAGGCTTGACATWTCCTGGGGCTTGGTGTTAAAATGTCATCTGTGCAGAGGTTGTAGCTGATTTAGTCAAACTCTTGCCTGGATAAATATGGATTTACTAGATCCTGTGCTTCTCCTTCCACTGTAGGTAGCCAACTACGGCGTAGGAGGCCAGTATGAGCCTCATTTTGATTTTGGAAGGGTAAGTCCTGTTTTATCTTCACCTCTTTCTTCTTCACAAGCGCTGTGTTTCTCTTTTTCAGGTGGCAAATTATGGAGTGGGAGGACAGTATGAGCCCCACTTTGACTTTGCACGGGCAAGTAAAGAGCTGGAGGAGAGAGAGACCTGGTGAAGCCTGGGCCTCTGGCTGGGCACGCTCTCTGTTCTTCAATGTGTATTAAATTTTGTAGCTCTTCCACTTTCCTAATCTATGTCCGTGAACAAAGCCCTCTAAACCACCAGCTGAACCTGTGGAGGTTGTCACCTGGGAGAGATGAGTGCCAGCAGTCTCCTGAAAACTGAAAAATTCTTACCTCACTGCCCTTAATTTATTCAATTTAAATTCCCCACCTGTTCCTATCCCTGCTCAAATTGCAGACTGCTGGAATTCAGTTGGTTATTTACTGGGCATAATTCTGTGTGGTTTAACCCCTTCAGATTAACCTTAACCCTGCCAATCCCAGCACCAACTCTGAATCAGGAGCTCTGCTCTGCAAGCACCTGCTTCAAGGCATTGCAACTAATTAATGCATTTTGTTTGSAAACGTTGGGGTTGCTTCCTGGAGCAACCATTGCTGGAATTTTAGTGCACACAAACTGTGGTCACAGGGGGTGGGCTTTAACAGAGGTGTGACAGAATCAAAATTCATCTAAATGGGGTTAATTCTTGTAAATCAAGTGCTGAACACCTCTTAGTTGTGCCTGGTTTGTCACTGAGGCTTCCTCCCTGCTGGAATCCAGAGTGGAGTGTGGCAGGGAGGTGATCCAGCTGACCCTGGCCCTGAGAGCTGCCCTGGCTGCTGCCAAGGACAAGGGGAATGAGTGTAATTAAATAATTCAGTTTGCTGTGAGGAGGATTTATAGACTCAGCCTCAGGCAGCACAGTTGTTCTTGGCCATTAGAAATCTGGGCTTAATGCCCTCCCTCTCTCCTACAGAATCTCAAAGTGCCTGGTTTACTTAAATTACTTAAATTAATAGATCCAGTTCTATTGCATTCTCCCCTCCTTCCAGATCGAGGGGTTGGATGAATTCTTGTGCATGAGTCTGTCTGTGCTGCTGGTTCAGCAGCTGTGTGCCACTGGCTGCTCTGAGCAACCAAAAAGAAATGCTGATGGAATCTGCCTGCTTTTGTTCACAGAAAGATGAGCCAGATGCTTTTAAGGAATTGGGAACAGGCAACAGAATTGCTACTTGGTTGTTTTATGTAAGTGATACATTTCTGCCATCTGTCACCGTGTATTCTGYACCACTGAATGTTTAATTCTGCGTTTTTGGATCTGTGTTTTATTGAAGGGACTTGCAAGTCAAGCAGCCACTAACTTTGGGGTCATACATACAGGGTGTCTTCTTACCCAGACTTTGTGATTCTTCCATGTGTCTTAAGAAGGATTTTCCTCCAAATTTGAGCATTAGCTTAATTTATTTGCCTGCCTGTTTATTTTTGTATCTGCATCAGYGTTTACAGCATGATCACTGCCTTAACACTCGAGTGGGAGAGACAAGGCAGGGACTCCATTGGGAACAGAGTGGGTTTGGCCTTTTTAAGGGATTTAAGTGGAAATTAAAGTTCCACTTTACTGAAATGAGAGGTTTTATCAGCCTGAACTGACCCGTGCTTCCCCACCTGTTCAGATGAGCGACGTGTCAGCAGGGGGAGCCACGGTCTTCCCTGAAGTGGGAGCCAGCGTTTGGCCGAGAAAGGTGAGTGGGATGGACCCAGCAGTTAAAACCCCTCCCTCCCCACCTACTCAAACATAACAGGTCCCAAAAAGAGCTTTCAAGGGAACCTGTAAAATCGTGAAAATCACAGCATTTGTTCATGGCAGCACAGAGGTGCTTACAGTTAAGTGCAGTGATGGAGTTGTGCTGGTGATTCCAAAGGTCCCAACATTCCATGTGTTGATCTGGAGTTGTTTTGGACTTCACCACTTCTAGTGCACAGACTGCAAACCATTAAATCAATCTACCCATTTGAGTATTTCCAAGATGTGCTTTTGAGTCTTGAGATGGCTGTAGGGAATTCTCACTGGAAGGGTGTGTTATTAGTTTTTTTCCCCTCAAATAACATTTGTCATTGCTGGCCTGCTGCTCATCTTTAGTAAATAATYTTGGCTTAAACTGGTCAGGAGTTAGTTAAATGGAACTGGTTTAGGATTTTAGAAGAAATTAAGAGCCAAGTATTCAGATACACAGTAGGTCAAAGGAAGCAAATGTTAGAATATGAAAAAGAGCTTTCAGTTTCAAAGGAGAGTGTGAAACCCAGAGGCTGTCCCTGAGTCAGTGAAGGTGTGCACTGTGCAGAGCCAAGGGCTCAGTGTCCCMTGTCATTCCAGGGAACTGCTGTGTTCTGGTACAATCTCTTCCCGAGYGGAGAAGGCGATTACAGCACGCGGCACGCGGCCTGCCCAGTGCTAGTGGGAAATAAATGGGGTGAGTACCTGCCTCTGGCCAACTCTGGGCTGGGCTGGGGGCTTGGCTGGGCTTTCTTTTTCGTCTGAACTTCAGAAATTAAATTCTTAACAGAGAAATCTGTTTTAATACACTCTATCTACCTCATCTCTCTCTAGATGTTAAATATATTCTATATAGTAGCATACTTCATTATATGTATAAAGTAAATGTGATACTATATTCACTCTAAGAGTATTCTTGTAGCTTTGCAGCCTTACTCGAAGGGGTTTTTTGTCAATTGGTTGAATTGTTTTCTTGTTAAGGTTTTTGTTAGACCAACTAACACAGCAGTGGGGTTGGAATGAGATGGACTTTTAAGGCCCCTTCCAGCCCAAACCATTGTGTGATTCTGTGAGAATTCTTGAGGAAATTAAGCACAGGATTAGATTAACTGGCCTAGCGCCTCTTTAGGTTCAGTAGAGAGGAGCTGAGCAGTGATGCAGTCCCTTTGTGTCTTTGCAGTATCCAACAAATGGCTCCACGAGCGRGGACAGGAGTTCCGGCGGCCGTGCACGTTATCAGAGCTGGACTGACACAGCCTCACCCCTCCCGGCTGCCACAGGCACCTCCTGCAGTTTACAACTGACTAACAACACACAAACAAACACTCCACTACAGGTTCAGTCCCCGCCTCGCCCCTGTGCAGCTGTGGACAGGACAAACGTGCTTTTGGTTCCCTCCAAATCCCCCCGAGGTTTTACCAACACAAAGTGTCGAGGTTGACGAGTTTTACTGAAAAAAAAAAAAGGACAAAATACAGATGAGGGCCACAACTTACAGCGGTGTTGTGTGTGGTGTTCTTGTCACCCATCATCCCTCTGTCAGTGTGGGTTGTGTGCAGTCCTCCTCACACCTGGGTGATTCCCTGGSAGGGCTCCCTTCTAAGGAATGCTGAATTACACCCATTCCTACTCCTCAACTCTCAGACACTCAGCTCCTTGCTTTCCTAGAGTGCCTGACCACTGCAGGCATGCTTTGTTTGTCTCTGGAAAACAGGTTATTACCATGCTTTAGCCTGGTTTTCCACTTCCACAAAAGCCCCACTTTTTAAACTTGTCTTCCTTCGGAGGCTCTGTGGAGATTTTGGCTCTTCATCTTGGCCACATGAGCCAGCAGTTCCACAGGCAGAGCCAGGCTGCTTGCACTGTGTCAGAGCAGCAGCCACCCTCCATCTTCCCTCAACTTCTGCAATGTTTGTCCACACCAACAAATGCTGCTTTTGTTCTGTCCTGGCAGCCAGCYCTTCCCTCTGCTCCTCGGGCAACGGGCATGGGGCTGTTTCCATCTTCATTAATCAAAATTGTCATGCCTTAGGACGCTGGAATTTCAAATTGGTTCTGACWCTTCAGGTGCTGAGGTAACACAAGTCCTCACAGAAGGCTCCCCACCCTCGTCCTCCTCCCAGCTCTTGAGGTTTCAGGAGAAACTCTCAGCCTATTTATAATCCTGAACCTTTTTTAGATACAGGCTCACTTTCCTGAACCCTTTTGCTTCCACAGCAGGATTTTTAGTAAAATATTCCATTATCTCACTAGCATGAGGACAAAAATCAAAGGGAGCTGCACCTGCCTCTGCCTAAACAGTCCAATTTTCTGGATGATGATGATTTTACTGATTTAGGGGTCAAGCCTGAAGTCTTTACCAAGGGAAAAATTCCAATTTTGGTTAATTGGATTTTCTGCCTCAATAAAACCTTGACAATTGAGCCAAAACATAGACAAAACCAATTGTTAAATGTGCTAGAAATACCTCTGGAATACTGGGAATGCAGTTCAAGGTACTATAGTTGGAGGAACTGCAGACATTCAGAAGACACTTTAAAAAAGTCTTTGCTGGAAAATAGATTGTTACATTTCTACTGAGCCTGGTAGCAACGGGACCCACAGAACTGTCCATCCATAGCCCTGTACCTTCCCCAATTTTGCCTGGCTTTTGGCAGCTGGAAAACAAGCTCCCTGCATAACTTGAGAACACTGAGTCTGCACCGTCCCTCCTTCCATCTGTGCTGCTCCTTTCCTGAGAGCAGGARTTGATCTAAATAAATTCACCCCAGACATCCCCTAACATTTGTGCCTACCATAGTTTTCTCCCTTTTTCATCCATCTCTGTTCCCATCCATGGTTCTCTTTTTGCCATCTCTTTTAGTTTCTTAAGCTCCAAAAAGGTGGCCATGGCTGCAGGTCGCTGCCACCACTTCCCTGCAAGTAAAAAGGTCCAAGGAACGGTGTGGTGGTGGGAACCTTGCCTTTGGGGCATCTATAAATGCTTGTAGGGAAGCCAATCCTACCTAGGACAGGAGCACAAAACAAAATCCCTGTATTGCCACATGAGCATATGTGGAAAACAGCTGGATTTATTCTTACTCTCCCCTCTCTGTTCAACAATCACCAGAGGATGAATGAAAAGCTGCAGTTGGGGAATTCTGCTCAGCAGTTCCTCACCTCAATACCTGTGAGTACTTCCAGTGTTGAACAACATCAGTGCTGGGGRAGCACAAATGTTCTGGTGCATGACTTTTTAAAGCCGTCAGCCACTCTCAGATAATTCTTCAGGAAGGAATTTTCTATTTTTGATGGTAGAAAATTTCACTTGGTTAAAGGAAAAAAAAATCCCTCAAAAGTACACCTCTCTGCTGAGGCACATCAGGAATGTTCCAGATTATGACGAAAAGGTCAGTTTAGATGTTTAAACTGCAGACAAGCCCTGTTTTTTCTCCTTCTACTGCAGTGGTGTCCATGCACCCAACGCTGACTGTGTAAGGGATTACATTGGTGCTGCTGCTTCTGCCTTACCCCCTCATTTCTCAAAGGGCTTYTGGATCCCCTGTGTGGCTCCTGTGTGAATCTAGTTTTGTATTAAACATGATGGAAAACTGTTTGGGCTCACAGTGACTGACAACTGAGAAACTGCCTTACTGTTACATTTTTTGTAATAAAATTTTTAATGTTTAAAAAGAARTGAACAGGCTTAAAATAAAAGCCACTGCCATTAGCAGTGAGAAATCCTCCACATCCCACTCTCCTCGTATGTGGCTGCTGTAAAAATCTGATCACACACCTTTATCACCATTTGGGGAAGTCAAGCTCCTCTGTTTGCATTTACCATCTCGGTGGAAGGTGCAGGAGCTGCTCCTACCCCAAATTCCCGTTCAACACCGAACTTTGGGAACACACAGCACTAAAGGACTGCAAGAGGGGAGGGCGGATAATGCTGGGCTGAAAGCACGGTCAGCTGCTGAGGGTCCCTTTTCCAGGGGTGACAGTTCTGTTTTCTGAAGCCAGAAGGTCAAACAGCCCCTTCTCCTGGGATGGTTCTCGGGAGGGGAAGAAAGCACCTGAGACTTCACAACACGGCACAATTCAAAAAACTCACRGATAGGAAGGTCAGGCTGGCATCTTCCAGAACCAGAACCTCTGGGGTTTGTACACCACAGCTACTCCTGGGCTTCACCCTGCAGAACAGAGCTGGTGTTTAGTTCTGGTCATGAGGAACCTGCAAAAAGCACAGGAGGGGCTGGTGAGAGGCCTTGGTCCTTTTCCTGTGGAACAGAGCTGTGCGCTGCCAGTGGAGCACTACGCTTGCAGGGAGGGTTCTGCCCCTGTGCTCACACATCTGGAAATCAGCCCAAAGTGCACCAGCACTGTTTTATTTTGGAAAGGTGACTGGGTTCCATCCTCAGCCACCCCCTGCTGCTGAGCTGCTCCCCTGYCCCTGGCAAGATGAGCCTTGGAGGGAGGGAAAGGCTCTGGACCAGCCCTGTCCTACCTCAACCAGTGACTTCCTGGATCCCGGGGGCTCTCTTGGCACAGCTGCACTTAAAGGGTGACCATGGGGGATCAGCACCATGGGAGGAGCCCAGAAAGGGTAAGGACCACAGCAGCTGCAGCTGAAAAGGCAGGAGATGGTCAGGGATAGGAAAAAAGGCCTGTGAACATCACAGGGCAGGGTAACATCACAGGGCACGGTAACATCACAGGATCACAGAATCCCAGAATGGTCTGGGTTGGAAGAGACCTTGAAGGCCATTCAAATCCACCAGGGACACCTCCCACTGTCCCAGGCTGCTCCCAGCCCCAATGTCCAGCCTGGCCTTGGGCACTGCCAGGGATCCAGGGGCAGCCACAGCTTCTCTGGGCACCCTGTGCCAGGGCCTGCCCACCCTCAATATAGAATTTCTTCCCAAAATCCCATCTAACCCTGCCCTCTGGCAGTTTGAAGCCCTTCTCCCTTGTCCTGTCATCCAGGCCCTTATCCAGAGTCCCTCTCCAGCTCTCTTGGAGGCCCTTTACATATTGGAAGGGGCTCCAGGTTCTCTGCAGAGTTTTTTCTAAGCTGAACAATCCCAACTCTGCCAACGTTACCTCCCAGCAGGGCTGCTCCATCCCTCTGACCATCCTGGAGCCTCCTCTGGGCTCTCTCCAGCAGCTCCAGGTCCCTCCTGTGCTGGGTACAGGGGCAGCTCTGCAGTGGGGTCTCACCTGAGCAGGGCACAGGGCAGAACCCCCCTCCTAAGGCTGGGGGAAGCTCGAGGGAGCTGTGCAGGGACTCCTGGAGAGACAGGACCAGCCCACACACGTGAGCCCCAAGGAGGGAGGGGGTCTTGAACCACCCCCACCCACCCTCCCCCAGCTGCTGGACTCTGCCCCGGCTCGGAGGGACTCGGCTATTTCATCACTGTTCCCATGATCAGTGACTCATTTGGCTCCCACGCCGCGCTTTGAAGCTGCCGTGGGTCACCCACTAACCTGACCCACAGCTGCCCTTCCCCCTGTAAGCCCCGAGCAGCCATTCCCAAAGCCGCTGCCAGAGCTCAGTCCCTCGATCCCAGCAGAAGGGCACGGGAAGGATCCTGGCACAGCACGGCCTATGGAGTGTGCTGGGGAGGAGGAATGCAGCACAGGAGCTGGAGCTTGGCGCCCGRTGTGGAGCCCAGAGGGTTTTTCCAGCTCCATCCTCATTCCCAGAGGCGCGGGGGATGGGTGGAATCACCTCTCCCTCCTGGATTCACCCTCCCTCCCGATGCAGGAGCGCTGCCAAGAGCCTGACAGTGTCCCTGGGAATGTGTGACTCACCAGCGCCCCGGGGCCGCTCTATATTTGAGCATTACGGAGGCAGAAATGAACGCACCGAGGCAGGAGCTGCCGATCCCCGGGTCAGSACCAGCTTCAGAAAGCAGTTGTCAGAGCTCACCACCGCGGCAAAAAGCATCTGCATGCCTTAAATCTTCAGAGAGAGAAGAGCTGGCCCAGTTTGTAACTGCAGTGGGTCAAAGAAAGGCCAAAGACAATACCTGCACCGTGCACATCCACAGCCGGGAAGTTCCTCACTGCTGCAGCTGCTGAGCCACTCCCCGCGGGAACTGTGGAGGTCACTTTTACCCAATCCTACATTTTTTCTGGTCTTCAGATCTTGAAGTCTGGGTGCAACTGAACTATTTGCAGCTGGACTGAAAATCTCTCAGGAGACCCATGTGGGGAGGGAAGAAAGGAAACGGGATGAAGGAAGGAGAGTGGCTCATCCCCGGGGCAGGGCAAAGGGCTGCCACGTTTTGGAAAAGCAGCTGAACTGCTTTGAACTCACAAACACTTGCTTCAGGACAAGTGACAAAGCAGCAGGAAAGTTTCTGACTCCTTTTTACCCAGGCTCTGCTCTSTGCCAGCTGCTCCCTCCCCACCCTGTTCAGCTTTCCTAACTCATTCCAACTGAYTTTGCAAACAGCCTGGGCTGCAGAGCCACCCCCTCCAGGCTGCATGTCCTGCTCATGCCACATTCCCTGCGGTTTGCATCCTCTGCAGTCCTGCCAGCATTTTTTCCCTCTCTGTTCGCCTTCAGCAACACATGGATCAGCCACCAGGGACCAAGGGATGACAAAGCAAGCCACGTTCTGGAATTGCCTCCAGAGCAACCCTAAAGAGCTGCACATAAAAGCAGGGCACCATGCACAGACACCCAGAGGCTCTTACACATTTCCAAGATAYTCCCAAATAGCTGTTTTGCTCTTTTTTTACATTAATTTCTGCCAGGCTGTTGGCAAAGGCTGGGAGCACTGGGACTGCAAACTGGAGTGTCAGGGGGCAGGGACTGAACCAGCACAGACACCAAAGKCCCCACTCACTGCAAGACCTAGCGTGGCACTATTGAACCCAGTTTTCCCTGCACTGGGGCTCCCTGACAACAAATTCCAGGGACATGATGGACAGACCAGTCCCCAGCATGGTCTGAACAGCAGGAGAGGCCTGAGCTCCTGCAGAGCATCCCTGCTGTGTGCCAGGGGTGACACTGATGTCACAAAAGGCTCACTGGAGGCAGGGATTTGCTGATTGCCAAGCTGCCAACCTCCCTTCCCGCTGTTCTTTGCATCTGGGTTTATCTCCCCAAAGGCAAAGCTGGTTTRAGGTTCCCCTGGGACCTCCTGCAGTCCTAAATGTCCCCTCACCCCTCAGGGCAGCCTCAGAACASATGGAASAAGCAGGSAGTAGCTGCCTCTGGCTCCACACCGTTTCACAGGAGAGGGACTATCAGGCCTGTTTGATCCCTTCCCCACTTTTCTGACTTACCTGTCTGAGAAACCAAGGCTTGGCTGGGGTCCCTCCTCCTTGTGCCATGCCTGGAGCTCATCACCCAGTGCAGACAGACACAGGCAGTGCCATGGAGCTCTGGCCCTTCAGAAAGAGCAACGCCAGGGGCTGAGTCTCCTGCAGAACAATAAAATGCCAGAATTTGCATTTGTGTTTGGCACATATTTGAAATGCCTGCAGCCCAGCTCCTCCTGAGARGCAGTGCTGTGCTGGGGCACATCTGAAAAGCTTTCTAATATCAGCCAGAACCTTCCCACACCATTTCCCTTCCCTGCTCATTGTGAGTGGTTCACTTTRTCTTTTGCTGTTAGTGTTGATTTGGTTGCTTTCTTTTCAGTGAGCAACTCTGAACCCCCCACCAGCTGAACAGGCCCTGTCCCACTGTGGAACCAGGACCTGCAGCTGCCCCACAACCCATTCCTTGACTGAGGTTTTAGTGCCAGCCTTTCCTCCCGGGTCACCCATTTCATTTACATTACGCAGGAGCTGTAAAAACCAGCCGTAAAMCATCAGCCACAACAAAGGCAAGTACTCAACTACGATACTGATCCTGAACTGATGCCAAGGAATTGCCCTGAATTCGGTGTTTGTGACCCCAAACCACTCCAAGCTGTTGGATCAACCCCCCAGAGGCTCTGTGGGCCCATGGCATTTGCTAGGAGTGATATACCCAGCAGCTGGGCTGGGTGAAAGTCTCATCCCACCTCACCATGTGCCCAGAAGGCTTCAGGAAAAGGCAAGGGATGCTCCTTAGCTGCCCGAGAGCAGAAATTTTGGACAAATAGATACTCCCAACAGGCTGGGGAGGGAGTGAGATGGTCCATGCAGCACCTTGGGGGGACACACCCCACTCAGCCCCCTGGCAGAGGTCCCTTTTGGGGAACTGAGGCACTGCTGGTGCGGTGGGGACTGAGTCTGTCACAGTGGGATTGTGCAAGCTCCCGGCTCTGGGAGGTGAACTCGCTCTGTATCCGCTGCACTTTGTCCCCCGGCTGCCGTGACCTCAGGCCGGCTCCCCGGGCAGCGTTTAAAGTCCGGGCAGAGGGGAGCTCGCTGACTCCGGCACTCGGCAGCTCGTCCCGTTCCTCCGTGCCCCTCAGCCTGCCCGGGGGCTCCGGGGCCGGGACCGCAGCATGCGGCTGCTTCTGGAGGCAGCGCTCCTGTGCCTGACCCTGCGCTTGGGACACTGCTCCGAGGAGGTGGCACAGGACAATGCCGGCCACCAGGACACCGCGGCAGAGTCCTCCTATTCCGACTGGGGCATCGACACCATCCGCGACGGCTTTGAAACCGTCAACAGCTACTTCGACTCCTTCCTGGAACTGCTTGGGGGCAAGAATGGAGTGTGTCAGTACCGATGTCGATACGGTGAGTGCACCTCGCTGCTGCCGGCTCCCCTCTCCTTGCCCCTCTTTCTCTCTCTTCCCTGCRGCCATGACCAGCTCCTCCTATCCATGAGCTGCCCCTGGCTGTGCTTGGCACAGTCACAACTTCTCTGCTGGTGCCAGCACGGGGACACTGAACCCTCATCTTCCCCCTGCCCCGGGAACAGCCCGGTCTAGAAAGTTGTGCACACAGGGAAGAGGATGCGGGCTTTCCAGGAATGGCACATCAGCTATCCAGCTGCCTGGGYGAGGACAGGGAGGGGAGGCTGAGCCAGCAGCCCTAATCTCAGAAACCTTGGGAGTGTCCTTATTCAGCAGTTGTGAGCTGGCCAATGCCGCGGGCCGGAGGAGGAGAGATAACAAGACAAACCAGACGTCACCGGGAGGAACCTTTAGTACTCGAGGCACAACGAGGCAGTTCCTGCTTGCTTTGGACTTTAGAGGGATTTAGCAAAAAAGGAAGAGTTTTGTCCTGGGAGCGGGATGAAGGGGGTGACATCCAGGCTCCTCCCAGGCCAGCAGCCAGGGCAGTGGGACAAACAGATGCTGCAGGGCTCAACTCCCTGCCAGAGGCAGAGGGGCCATAAGGAAGTTAAAATCAGTCTGAAAGTTACTGAGTTTTTTGTTTTGTTTCATAAATAATGCCATAGAATCATAGAACAGGTTGAGGTGGAAGGGACCCATCAGGATCAYTGAGTCCAACTCCTGGCCCTATGCAGGACATCCCAAAAGTCACACCCTGTRCCTGAGAATTATGTCCAAACACTTCTTGAGCTCTGGCAGCCGTGGGACCACTTCCYCTGGAGAGCCCAGAAGTGCTTCCAATGCTCAGCCCCTGTCTGGGTGAAAACCCTTTTCCTGATACGTATCTAAAATGTATATATGATGTATGTATGTGTCCTCCCTCTCCTGCCAGCTCTGCTCCCCAGAGCAAACAGGGAGCAGCAAGCCAGGAACCTCAGCCCCATGGGATGGAGGGAGCCAGGCACCTCAGCCCCACAGTGGCCCTGGTCCCTCAGCCTGGAAGCCCACAACCTTCTCTGCAGCAGCTCACGAGGGCCAGGAGTGTCCTCAGTGCCTGCAGGAGGTGGGGTGACCCAGACCCCACAGCACTTCCCAGCACACACTGTTGGGTGAGCCCATCAGGCAGCTTGTCCCATGCTCCCAGGCTGTGTGTGACAATCTCCTGAGGATCCACATTGTGCTCCAAATTCAGAGCAAAAAGGGACTTGCCTTTCTTAATCTAGAGACTGAAAACCCTTGCAGTGGGGAAATCATGGCTGAGGTAACGCTGATACTCAGAGCTGCTTTCAGGGAGCCTTGGGACTCACCAAGTCCTGCAGCAGTTACTGCTTCTGGACACATCCAGAGGGCTCTCTCTGCCTGTCCTTGWGAAAAGCACCTCTTGCTTGGAGAAGTGTTTACCTAGAAAGGGAAACAAGCACATTGTTAGCCCAGCTCTCATCCTCTGCTGAACAGCTCGTTAATCACTGGCTGAAGAGGGAAACCATTGAAATGCTGCCCACGTGGCTCTAAGGGTCTTGCTGGACCTTCCAGGACCATTTGTCTTCGCTAATCTCTGCACAGATATTGCAGACTSTGACTGGAGAGGATGCTGGGATGATCCCAAACCGGTGAGATCCAGTCCATGCCCAGAAGAATGAACACAAACCATCTTTATGCTCTGGTTTTTTTCCCAGGCACAAAGCAACAATTATTCCTTGTACTTACTTTCATTTCAGCCAAGAGATACCAATAATAGCTTATTTTGCCACGGTAAAGGTCAGGACTCACCTGTGATTGCCATATCCATCTTCAGCAGAGCACATGGCACTGGGCTGTGCCAGCTGTAAGACTCTTTTGATTTTTCAGCAGCTGTTGAGGTCTGAAAACAACCAACTTGATGGATTATTGACTTAAATCAGGACATGAGGGTTACAGTAGCATTTACCGGCAAACATCTCCTCCTGCTTACAAATTCTCACTGGGCATCTCAGGGGAAATAAACAGCCTGAGCTGCAAGTGAACCCCTTGTAGCTTCTCCTGGCCAGGCAGGACTTCAATGCTTTGCCCAGCATTTGGTCCTGAAGGGCTTAAAATGAAGGGTCTGTGGGAAAAGAGCCTGCAAAGGAGGGCTCTCCAAAAGGCTGGGATTTGTGCAGGCACCTCTGCTCAAAGCCTGGGGCACACAAACAACACTGGACCACCCAGAGCTGCAGGGAGCCCTGAGACCTTCCATTCACCCAAAATAATCTCACCTCCCCTGCCAAGGGCCCAGCACTGCAGGGCCTGAGGCCTCCTGCATGGCCAGCAGCTGTCCCAGCCAGCTGTCTGCTTTCCAGCCTCTTGGAACAGCTACAACAGCCTGGAGGAATTGAAATGCAGCAGGAAACTCAACTTCAGTTCCAGGGCTGTGCCAACAAGGCAGTGCCCTGGAATCTGTCTCCTTGCCTGTAAGGATGGGCAGGCAATAAATGATAACAGGAGCACTGAGTCGATGTTTGTGGAGAGTTGGGAATGCCTGGTACTCYTGTTTTGTTTTTGCTTCCTTGTTAACTAGAAAACAAAATGTGGGAGAGAGGTTAATTGTAGTGCCTTGGACTTGMCCTAGCTGAGACAGAGTACAAAGGRGCACTTTACAAACTTTWAAGCTTTGTTTTGCAGAGAGGAGGGGCAGGTTTCCTACCAGGGCTTATCCTGAAGGCAGTTTGATGTTTTGTGGATCAGCACAATTCACGTGTCAGGGTTTTTTTCTCCTCAGGAAAACTTCGTAAAACATAATAGGTGTTTTATATAATATATGTAGGTGTTTTATATAATAATATAATTTAGCTTAATGGAAGCTCTGGAAACACAGTTAACTTTGGCATGATGGAGGTTGCAACTGCACMATCTTTAAGGTCCCTTCCAACCCWRGCCATTCTAGGATTCYGTGACCTCATCATCCTCAAAAAGTCTCACTCCTTCTCCCTTTAACTGCCAACACACTGCAGGAGCACAACTCAGAGTCAGCATTACAAGTCACTCAAATTTTACTCTCTCCTCCAAAACCCACAGGATTTTGAACTTTCCTCTCCCTCCTACATCAGTTCAGGAACGTTTAAATTCTGAGTCCCAGTTCTCACCCCCTTCCAAAAAAACAACTAGGCTCTTTTGGAAGGGGAAGATTGCCCGTTGGCATGTCACAGTCAGACAGGATTTCAGTTTGTTATTTATTTGTAGTAAATTTGTTAATTAAGTAAAACAGCTCTGGCAAGGTTTAACTGAGAGGTGCTGTGCACACTCCTGCCTAAGTCCTTCTGAGGCATTTGGCTGCCAGGCCTTCCCAAGGGCACAGGAGATTYATGGTTCTATTAACCACTGGCATTTCAGGTACCTCAACAGAAAAATGGGGAAAGCGCCTTAAATAATTTTCGGCGCTGACAAGAAGCAAACAGTGGAAATGGAGTTTAGAAGAACCCAGCCCTGCCTTAAGGGCTGAATTAGATCCATTTTATATCTATATAAATTCTCTAGCAGTGCTCAGGGAAGCAGAAACTTAACCCTTGATGTGACGAACCTCAGAAGGCTCACACGTGTTTCTGTTGGAGCATTCATAGAGTTTGTGTTTTCCCAGAGTAGGGATGGGACCTGAGGGAACRGCTGGAGCTGTCAGGGCAGGGTTAGGTGGGATATCAGGAAAAGGTTCTTCCCCCAGAGGGTGGTCAGGCACCGAGCAGGCTGCCCTACAAAAATCAGATTAAAATGCTGCTGAAGGTACTGCTAGAGCTGGCTGTTTGCTGGATCTTCCTACATTGRGTAAATAATTATTCACAGAGGGAGTTCTTGCTCCTTTATGCATATTAAGAAGCAGACTGAGGAAGGTGCAGAGATTAAASGAATAGAAAGGATTTGCAAAACGTGGCAGCAAATCACCATGGACAGAAAATGGACTGAGAAGACCTGCCCAGAGCAAGATCAGAATGCAAGGTCCATTTGGAGGAGATCCACAGCGCAGCAACAATCCAAGAATGAAGTGAGGACAGGAAGAAACCCCCTTGCTAAGMTAGGACTGTAACTATGTCACTCCTTACTTTTCTGGGCCCAGTCTTGGGAAGATCAGCTTTCCTAACATTTGTCCTGTCCTTTTTTTCCCAGGGAAGGCTCCCATGCCGCGGCCTCACTACAAACCCCAAGAACCCAACGGCTGCAGCTCCCATTTTCTGGGGCTCAAGGTACCCGAAAGTGTATGTACTGTCCCACCCACCATTCCCAAAGGATGCAGCTCTCTCATCCCATAACCAGCTAACAATTCTGGGGAGGGAAGAGGCTGAGCTGTGCTATGCTGGGCAGCTCGGTGACGATGAAAACAACTCAGTGCATCCTCCATACCTACCCCTTCACTCCCTCCCACGCTTTTTGCCTCTGCCAAGCACTGAATTAAACCCATGGGCTTTTATASTGCACCTGCTTGTTATCTTCAAGGCAATTAATGAAATCATGTTGGAATCACCAGGAGAAGCACTCCYGGGAGGCTCTCAGAGCAGGGATTCYTATTTAGCTCATGCATTACTGCTGGCCATGGAATCTGCAGCAATTAGGCAGATTGCTGCTCTGACAASCCCCCTCTTTGCAGCCCATTTTTCATCTTTGGTTTAATACCTGAAACTCTATTTCATTGCAAACCTTGCGGGCATTGCCTCCTCTGCACCCAGGCAATCATGAGTGCAACGAAGGAACAATTAATCTCCTACATTTCAGATGAGAAAAGTGAAAAAGAGGAGTAATTTTTAACAAGCTAACAAGTCCAGTGTCTCCAGGGGACAGGCCTTCTGCCCCATCGCCCCCAGGATCATTAGCTCAGCTTACTGCTTACTCCAAGGAGCAGAACTCCCCTGACCACACTATGCTTGTTCTTGACCTCACAAGTGCATCTCTGAGAAACAGGGCATTAAAAATACTTAGGGCAYATATATTAGGCCAAAAAGCAGGACCTTGTCAGATTGTGGGAAAAAGATGAAAGAGAAAAKGGGCCTTTGCCACTGCTAGCAAGGACATGGAGCCCTCTGATGAGCTCTGACCAATGAAAATAGTCATGGAGGGCTGTTTCCCACCTCTCTATATGACATTAATTCTGTGGGACACAGAGAAGGGAATGTGATGTCCCTGCACCACTGACCCCACTGTGCTGCTCCCTCATCCTTCAGATGGYGAGGCAGCAGCAAAGTTCCCTCCTGCTGCCCCAGCTATTGGGAACAGGAGCAGCTGGGCTCTGCAGCACCTCACCCTGTCCCAGCTGCCAGCCTGAGGCCAGGACGCAGCCAAGGGACACTTCTCTCTCCCCAGCTGGATTTGGGCATCCCTGCCATGACCAAGTGCTGTAACCAGCTGGATGTTTGTTACGACACCTGCGGGGCCAACAAATACCGCTGCGACGCCAAGTTCCGCTGGTGCCTCCACTCCATCTGCTCCGACCTCAAGCGCAGCCTGGGCTTCGTCTCCAAGGTGCAAGGTAGGCTGCCCACCTCACATTCCCTGTGCAGGGAGGGACAGAGGGAAAGGAGTGGGCAGAAGGCCCTTTCCTTGCTAAAAACAAGCAAAACTCTGCAGCAGGGAGCAGCACATCTGTCCTGCACTGATCACAGACARGTAAGAACAGAGATCTGCCCCCCCTGCCACACACCACTTCTGTCCATCCCAAGGCTGGAGACCCACAGTTACTTGCATTAAGAAAACATTACARCGTGGAARAAAAACCCAAACAACCCTGGAAGCAATTCCTCCAACACTTGGATGCACTCCCARACAGTTCAAAAACCTCCACAGGGTACCAAAAAGCCTTCTAGGGCCAGTAAGCCACACACTGAGATCTGTACATGGCCAAGGGCCAACAGACTCAGAGAGCCAAGGACTGGGCCCTCTGGGATCTGGTCACAGGGACACGCCAGGATGGGTGGTGGCTGAGCCACTGCAGGCAGTTCTGGATGGCTCAGAAGTGCTAACAAAGCTCTTGTGATGTGCCAGCAGCTCGAGTGCCACCCTGGTTTTGCTTCATTTGAAAAGCCTCAGCCTGCAAATCTGAGAAGRGCTTTTTGGTGAAGGCTCATTTGGTAATCTTTACTGCTGCCCAGCTCTAAAGTATCCTTAAATACACATTTATATTCCAAAGTCTGATTAGGACACATGGGAAGTCTGCATGACACCAGTAGTAGTTCAGTAGATGGCTTCCTACCCTGTCACAGATAAATGTTTGGAAAGACTGCCCAGGCCAGCAATGGAAAACAGAGAAGTGAAATGAGACATTAARTGCTACAGGTCAAGCAGAGCCAATCTTTCATGGTCACCCTTATCTACAGGTCCTCACSCAGCCAACTTCTTCCTATTTCTTCAAATTCTCCCCTGCCACTTTTTCACATGGCTCCTTTTTGCTTTCTGGCTGCAGCAGCAAGGCAAACCTAGATCGTAGGGAGTTATGGTAGAGCAGAGCCCACCCTCCCAGGCTCAGCCAAGCCACCCCTGCCAGGCAGGAGTAGATTCCTCCAGCATCTCTGCCCTGGTTGCTGCAGGAGGCACGGGAACCTCTGAGCCATCCTCCCCTCCACTTGTGCTCTAAAGCTCTATCACAGCCCTCCTCCACAGCCATCCCAGCTCCTATCTGGYATCCAAAGCCTTGGGTTTCCCATTGACTCACCACAGCCTTTCCAAAGCCTGCCTTTGAAAGGTGAGCAGCCTCCAAAGGGAACAGGAGCTCTGAAGTGCTTGGAGAGGCTGAAATAGGAGAAAACAGCCAAAGGCAAGGCTTTCTCAACTTCATTATGCATATAGCAATCAGTGTTAGTGCCAGTAAATAAACCCTAAAGATCTCATATTAACATATTCACTTACTGAAYGGTTTCAGAGTTGTTTTACAGGATGAGGAGAGGGAGTAGTCAGGCAGTCAGCTGTTCCAGTTGCTGTGTGTAGGGTTTTTCATGCTGGGTGGCAGCTGGCATCATAACTCCCAAAAAAGCACAGAATTGTTGGTTAATAGTGGCTATGGGCAAAACTGAGAGAAGAAGGAGTAATGTGGAGGTCTCCTGGGAAATGTGTTTGGTAAACAGTGCTGATTGCAAAGCCCTGGATGATCCATCAACCAGCAAGGCCTGAAAGAGGCAATAAAGGAGGGGTTGAGTGGGGAGAGAAACTAGTGACACCTTGGGGAGAAAAAAGAAGGGAACCTCAGAATTTATAAAAATGCAGTTKCCAGAGAGAAAAGACAACAGCCCACACTTCCAACTGCAAACCCCAGGGAGCTCAGCACAGGGCTGAGGATGGGGTGCTCCCACCCAGCTTCCAGTCACCCCAGAGTGCCTGTCCTTACCTGCCCCATCCTCTCCTCCACAGCCTGTGAATCCATGGCAGACACGGTGTTCAATGCTGTCTGGACCCTGGGCTGCCGGCCCTTCATGAACAGCCAGAGGAGCGCCTGCATTTGCAGCGAGGAGGAGCGGGATGAACTGTGAGCAAGAGCAGCCTCCTGCTCTCCRTGAGCTGCTGCCAGCGTCCCCTCTCCAGCACAGTGACTCCAGCACGGGATGGGGCWCCTGGGCACAGCCCCTGGGCAGAGCAGACACAGCCTGTGAACACAGGGCAGCTGTGCAGCCCCACTGCCCCTTTCCAAGTCCACCAGCCAGAAGGACCCGATACCAGTTCTCTCYTTGGACTGATCAGGAGAGGCAAGCAGGGTGCAGTGCTGGTTATAAACAAGGGGCTTGACCTTAAACAAACACTATTACCTCCCCCCACTCTCTAACTCTCTAATTTGCAGTGCAAGGCATTAGGTTTCTGCAAGGCCTGTGAAATTCCCAGTCCATGGATAAGCTATTTACATTCTTGCAGCACCGGTGATAGACTGAAGAGGGGTAATTTGCTTTCAGTATGTTGCTCACRCCCATCCCTGACATTTGCCATCCTGTCATTACACACCCTGACAACCYTGCATATTTAACTACTTGGTTCCTAAAATGTTTTAAAATATCTGGAGATTTGGTAAGCAGAAGAAGGGCTTCAGGTGTTTGTGGTACACAAATGATATCTGGGACCAAAGCCACTTAACAGATGTGAAATCACAGCCCTCTCCCCCAGTTTGTGGGGACGAAGTTGCTTTTCTTTGCCAGTATCGTTCACATCGATTCACTTATTTTTCTCCTATACCATTTAACAAAGCTTTTCCCTTAGGATCCCTTTTTACACAAAATGGCTGGGTATCCACCTCCATCTCTTGCACGAGAGACACAGGAGGCTCACGGTGGCCTCGGATGAGATATTCCAAATTCTGGAGGCTTATCTGTCAGGTGACAGGACTTACGTGCTACCTCTGTGGGGCTGCTATCAGCAGCCTCAGACACCATTCCTTCTAAAASGTGGTTAATACTCCCATCTGTTATGGGGAGCTTTTGTTGCGTGCAAAAGCAGAATTTAAAGYGGTACATGGCATTTCATCTCCACAGAACATTGGCAGGCAGCTTTCAGCTGGGTTTCTTGTTGGAAGGAAGCTGCTGCTTGGTGTGCGTGTGCCGTGCCACGTAAATATTTCAGTGGCTCCTGCAAACATATTTATGGTTATGTTCTTCCATCTGCCACGGAGAAGTTAAGGCTGCAAAAGGGTGATTTAACAACAGTGGAAMGAGTCTGTCTTGGTTGCTTTTCTTCCAGTTTAAATGGGTTGAAATGTATGCAGAGAGCTATACATTATTTAAGGCCCGTGTTGCTGCTCCTGCCAGTCATCCTTGCCCCACAGCGAGCAGCAGTGAGATGTTCTGCTGGTCCCAGACAGGCTGGAACAACGGGAGCCCGCTGCCATCCAGCTCAGGAAAATGGAAGTGACTGTGTGGGGTGCACTGGGATGTTTACYATTACAGAAGACTTCAACACTGATCAGATGTAATGACAACCTTTCCCAGCTGGGCTGATGCCACTGGAGAGGGAATGCTGCATTGCCAAGGTTCATTGCTCTGTCAGAGCATGAGGCTGGACAGACGACCCTGATTATCCATCTAAGAAACACATACTTTTGGCTAGGGATGGGAAGGAAACATTCCTCATTCCAGACACTTCCCAAACTTTGTATTTTATTGGTGAAATGCTGCCTGTTGCCAGTTTAAATGTGAACATACTCTTATAATTAAATGACAAAAAAGAAATTMAAATAGCTATATTGTCTGCGCTTGATAGCCAGCTGGATGGCAAATATCTTATTTAATAGCTTGAGTGATACCAGACTAAAGCAACTGCTGGCAGGTGATGACATACTCTGGAGAACTCAGAGGGTTCTGAACAGAATCTTTCTACCCAGAGCTGGAAATATTGTTAACATAAATCCTAATTTCTCCAAGCTTTCACATGACCATTCCTCTACAAACCCTACAGATGCTGCATGCAGGCCAGCGATTGCGTAGGTCCATTTTTTGCTGTGGTTATGTGGAAAAGCCCCTTGCAAGAAAATATTTGAACCATCAAGTGGTGACAGTGACTCCAACAAACCACCAGATAATCCTGTGCAGCAGCAAACCAGCGCATGAACTCTGGTAAAACTGCATCCAAACTGAAAATTGCTTCCCCTCCGTGCTGCTCCTGCTATCTGGTGGTGTACAGCCACAGAAGGAGCTGATCACAGGATTCTCCAGGGTGCTGCACAAACCTTGGGTCATCTTCAATTCCACCCTGCTCTGGACACAGAGACACCACCACTTTGCTCATCCCATGGCTTCCTCTTGACTTTGTGTATTGATGGCATTGTTTTCGGCTGCAAAGTGGAATTCACTGCTTCATGTGAATTTGTCAGGAAGAACCAAATAATGTGCACAATAACTGAAATAAGCCAGGAAAGGATCTTGTTCCTCCATCACTCCCCCACATCCCTTCCACAYGAACAAACAACACCACTTGATTCTCCAGAAGGCACCAGATAATTAATTTCATTTCCCAATTCTTGTTTTATCAAAACAAATACATTTAGCGGAGGCTGCCTGAACAAAGAAGTGACAGTGGGAAACTTCCYGTGTGGTCCTAACGCAGATGTGAATCAGCAGAACAGCAATCCTAGGAGAAGCCTTTTTCCTTTCTTTTTCTTTCACTTATGGTTAGATAAGACATGAAAAGTGTCTTTCCATTTCTACCTGCTTATCATCAAAGAAACATTTTCGTTTACTCTAACACACACACACRTATTCCCAGATTGGAAAAGCAGCCACGAAGCCATGTAGGAAAATTATTAAACTCTCAGCCCATTAAATATCCATTCCTCACTGGAATCTCACTTGCCAGAACAAATAAATCCRTGAAATAAGTTGAAATGTTTGAGGTGATTTGTGTCTCCCTTCTAAATGGTCCCTTCAAACGGATTGCCCTTGCATTTGAGAGCAGCAGCAAATTTTGGCTTTTGCAGCAATTTGGCTGCTCCAAGCAAAGCAGAACACGAGTGATGAAGGCTGGGGGGCTTCCAGCAGACCTCCAGACACGCAGGACAGAGCTGCACAATGAGAAGCTTCTTGTGGAAAACCTTGGGAATACGCTGCAGTTGCCACAGCCACCGGTGGAGACGGAACCTTCCCCTGTCATCCTCCAGCCCTGCCTCTCCTGTGCTGTTCTTCACTGCTGGCTGTGCCTCCTTCCTTTCACCCCACACCCCTAATCCTTCATCACACAGCTCAGTGAAGTCCACAGCAGCCTGAGCTGGTCACATCCATTGTATTTGCTTTGGAAGGAGCCTGACAGCCCAAAGAGATTCCTGACAATCACAATGCCACCACCATCACCAACAATTGTGTCCCCTGCCATTGCCACTCAGACAACGCTGGGGTGTCTCCTGTCACCAGGCTCACTAGGGACAGCCTGTCCTGAGAACTGCCTACATTACAAATGACTGCTATAAATAATTAACATGCATTCCTCTAATCCTTTGTTGGAACCATGRCCTCTCTAACGAGGGCCATGCATCACAACTTCCAAACAAACACTTGGCTGCAGCACGCTGGGAGGGAAGTGTTTATAGATGTTTAATGGTGTTTTTCTTACAATCAAGGTGCTACAGCACTTAGGAAAGGCATTTTTGGTGGTGGGAGAAGAGGGAGAAAAATAAAGATACACTAAATACAGGAGGAAACACTATAAAACTGCATGCAATTATAAAAAAAAAAACAAACCAAAATCTTATTAAATATCTTTTGCTATTTAAAATAACATTAAAATGTGCCTGCGACAGATCAGAGTTTTAGCTGCCCGTAATGACAAGTGCATTGCTCCAAGGAACTTACACATGATGAGATCTATTTTATACATGTTTTTATTAACAGTCATCTGAAAGCTTCAGCATCACTCACAGCAAACACACTCAGCTATGATACTATTTGTACTGTCTGATGCAAGAAGGACTCGGATAACATTTGTTTAGTCAAGGACAAACAGTCCTGGGGCCTGTAGGTGGATGTAGGGAAAGACAAAGTTGGGTAACACTTYAGGCCTGCAAAGAGACAGGGTCCCTTCAGCTGAAGGGTTGTTGGGGAGAAATGCAGATAAAACCAAACTGTTCTGCAGTCTGGGTAACGATCCGAGGGCTGCCCAAAACACTTCACAAAKAATCGCCACAGGWTTAGGGAAATGAGTCCTGAGGTTCAAGCGGGGCTTTACCAAATACCTCTCATTTCTCAAACAACCATGACAGCAGGCATTGATAAGGAAGGCCAAGGATGATGTTCCAGAGGGTGGGTGTCAGTCATCAAAGTCGATTCTGATGGGGCCTCCTGTCAGGATGTGATTTGCCATGTGAACAGATTCCTTCTCCTCCTCCTGCTCCTGTGAGCGGCGCACGCGTCTCCGGCAGCCCTGGGCGCAGCGCGAGGTCTCGTCCAGCGCCCCGCACACGAGGATGCGGCAGTGCAGGAACACCTCCTGGGGTGGGGACACAGCAGGAGGGTCAGGGCACAGCTCTGGGAAAGCCACAGCACGAGCCACGCCGCTCCCATGGCACACAGCCATGTCCAGCATCAGCACCCTCAGCCAAACTGGCCGCTCTGTTTCCTTATGTGCCCTCTCCAGAGAGCCTGGCTGAGACCTCAGAGCACAGCATCTGTCTGGGAGCCAAGGTGGAGAGACAGGGAATAGGAAGGCGTGGAATGATCCTCCAGAGAATCAGCCAGGAATCAGCTTGGAAGAGCTYATGTGGACTGGTAGGAGCTGCATGTCAAGAATGCGTGAAGCCACGCAAGGACYGATGGAGACACGCAAGAGAACTTGAAGTGAGCTGGGAAAACAAAGCCRGGAAACTGAGGGGAAAAAGGAGGAAAGTGCAGGGTGATAAGGGGCTAAGTTGAGGGAAGAAGGAGAATGCAAAGAGCAAAAAGACAGCTGCCCTTTGTTCTGCACAGCAAAAGCAGTGACAGGATTGCTGCTCCCTGCCCTGTAAGTGCCAAGGAGAGCAAGCAAGATCCCTGCAGGCAGCAGGCACAAAGACTGGGTCAGTGGAGAGGCTTGAAGCAGAATCCATTGTGCAGGAYSGGAGGATGCAGGTTGGAGGCAGCAGTGGCAATCACACAGCCAGGGAAAATGTCTGAATTTTAGCAAGTTTTAACCCTACTGGKGATCTCCAGTAGCTGGAAGCAGTAGCTTTATACTTTTCAGAGCAAGGAGTGTTGGCTGAGCATAACAATAACTGGAAGATCCAATTTCCTCCTGCACAGGAAAGGAAGCTATTTGCATTAGGAAAATGGCATTATCCTTCAACTGTCCTCCCACTACAGAGCTCCTGCCCCAGAGAGACAACCTGATTTCACACTGAACTAAGCAGTATGGTGGCCTTCTATCTGGAATCCTGGCATCTGTACTCACAAAAGCTAGAGAACACARAAGGTTGAAGGCATCAGATCCCAAATTAAAAACTGTGTTGTTTTACAGATCAGACACTGTGAAATGTGCCTGATGACTGAGCACACTTCTCTCACCCAGTGTACAAAGGTCCACCAAGACCACCCTGGAAGCAACTAACATTTTAGCCTGCTGGGGCACTGATGTTCCAAAACTGTCCTTCAGATTTTAATTTTAATTGTTTCTATTAATCTGTCCTGAAGTACCTGAGTCAGGCTCCTGAAAGATGCAACTGCTGGAACAGGTACAGCAGCACCTGCCTTGGGCCAGCCATCCATACCCTTTGCCAGCTTGGTGCTAAGGCTCCTCAGTCACATCAGAGCTGATGAAATACCTAAGAATTGAGGTCTGAGCTTACCTTGTTGTCTTTGCCCACAAACTTGAACACAGGGACCTGGAAATGCTTGGCAAGATGGTCCTTTGACGTGTACTGCTTCACGGAGTCATCAGAAACRCAGCTGAGGGGAGCAGAGGGATAGGCTTTAATGGCTTTCCCAGAAATGGAAAAAGAAAGAGAAAAGACATTCCAGCCTACTTAAGCAGAGAAAGAAAAGGAGGGATTGGCTCTCAGGCTCTTCTACCATCTCTGCTACTTCCTCCTTGGCCACCGGAGAAAATTCGGGAACGATGGGGAAAAACAACAGCAGTGCTAATAGCATCTCCAGACAAGGAACAGCTCAGCAGCAGAGGGCTGGCAGGACGTGGCCCAGTCCCCTCACAGAGGGACTGCCAGCGAGCTGCAGGCAAGTTTGTCCTCATTTCACCTTCCTGTGCAAGTCTGCAGTGTTACACACTACAGAGTATGGTATGCATTACTGTATACACATATATATGCACATAAATTATGCTTAAAATGAAGCAGCCTGCACCCACATTACTAAAATATGACAGATGATGAAAACAACAAAAATCCAGATTTGCTTTGCCTCATAYAATTTACATTTTTCTCCCCGCTGGTCTTGGTCCAACAGCTCAAATTCACTATACCRGGATTTATAATTTCAATTTTTCCATCACTAGCAATACATGATGTAATGTATGAGAGGTCACAGAACTGCAAGGAATTAGCTGCTTTTAGAACAAGTTACATTCCAGGTGCAGTGTATTTATAAACTATTGCAGCCTATTTAGGGTTTGACAGAAAAAAATTATGGAGGCTCAATTATTACTGCTGATTATTGCAAAGCCTTGGGCATCTTGAGAGGTCCTGATGCTGCTGTGAAATTGCATTGCAATGCAGCTCATCCTTTCTAGCAAGTTAATTCCAAAAAAGTTGACTTTGAAAGATACAAAAAAAAAAATAAATAAAGCAGTGGTGGAAGAGACAAGAGGTACTGGTGTGACAGCTCCAGTCCTGCTCTTGCAGCAACATTCAGCTCCTATCTTTACACAAGAAATCCACATGGCATTGTCAGAAATGCTGATGTTTGACATGTTTGGCTGTAAAAGAGCAGCTCTGCCTTCACTGGAATGTTTGGGAATCTCCATGTTGTTAAAACTCCTTTTAAAAGCAGGCATCTGATTGTAAGGAATGACAGTTAAAGACTTTTCATAGGTGWCTGGCCAAGCTTTAGGGCCATGAAGTCAACTTGTAGGCATGTTCTCATTTGTGAGCATACAAACTGTGATGATTATTGGATGCTGGCTCATATTAACTCCTAAATCCCAGGTTCTCCAGAGGTTYTCCACACTGGTGTAAGGAAACCTACTGGTTTGTGGCTAGGGAGATGGGAAATGGAAAAATAAGAAGAAATCAGGGATACATAGAGAAAACCAGCTCACAAAGCTCGTGAGTCACAAGAACAAGCCCTTTTGCATTTGTGGGGCCAGGCCATATCCCARTCTCCTAGGAAACCCCAAGAGACTCTGCTTCCCACCTTGGAGAGGTGAGAAGAGACAGGTATGGAAGGAAAATGGGTGAGCTTGATCAGGATATKGGGAAAATAACCCTATTTTCCCCATATCCTGATCATATGCATAATAACCTGTGCATAATGTGCTTAGGTTTGGGCAGCAGAGAGGSAGTGCCATGGGAGCTGTGCTCTGACCCTCTTATTTGGGGTTGGCAAGGTAAGAGGAAGGCTTGGACAATCAAATATCCACCTCAGCCTAACAAATGGGGCAGCCTGAGGCATTAACAAGATGAGCTTTGCAATAGAACTACCTTAAGCACCTGGTGCTCTGCTGAATGACAGCCCTGACCTCAGCGGTGACATGATCTTGGTCCAGATGCCCCAGAGAGCTTCAGCGTTTATCAGCCATGCCATGGGTCAATGCCTTTGTTTCACTTTGTTTTCAGAAGGCAGGGAATTAACAGAGAAAAGAGAAGTAGAGGGAATTTTCCCATTCCTCAGTCCAAGGTATATTGCTATATTGCCCTCAGATTTAAATAGTGTTTCCCTTTGGAAGCTTCACTTAACTCCTGCAGGTCTGATCCTACATAAACTGATTTTAAAATCCCATCTTTATTGCCATGGGCTTTCGGAGCTGGACTGCTAGAAGGAAACTGGGTTATTGCAGAAGTGTTGGGAGCAGAGACAACTTAGCAGTGTATTCAGTTAATTTAATTTTGACTCGCTGGGAGCACTGGGGACACACTGCGGCCCGCAAAGTGCAGCAGCTGGACGAGGCTTCAGCCCACTTTTCCCTTCAGTGAAGTTTTAATGCCCTCTGCAGGTACCAAGGGACTCGTGGTGCCATAAATCCTCCATCCAGTGCTGGGGTGAATTCAAGAGATGACATTTCCTGCCTTGTCCCTTCTCTATCCAGCTCAGGTTTTGGCTGCTGTTTTGAATCCCATCACTTTCACTCATGAATGAATGTTTGGAACCTTGACTCTGTGAAGGGTCCACAGGAACAGCCAAGCCAGGGAGTTGATGAAATCAATTTTTCCATTACAGATCTGCTCCTAAAGCTCAGAAATGTGGGCACAGAAGGACTGCAGCCTAGGATGGAGRGAGTGCAGGCTAATGCTGAATCCTCATCAGAAGGAAATGAAAACAGTGGTTTGGGTACTTTACTTTGCTACAGGACAACCATACAGGACTTGTCATCAGCAGCTGCAACAGAGGATGATTTAGTCTGGCAGCTGAGRACATAACTGTTGCCATCATTAAATTTTCTGACAGGCAACGTACAGGACTTACACAAGCACAGTCCTTTGACTACCAGGTTACAACTCTTGGGTATATCTTAGGTACTCCTTTGGCTGGATTTCCCTCCTTAGAGGACAGCAGATCACTTCACAACTGTGACATTTCCTCAGAGCTGTCTGGTTAAGCTGCTGGATGCAAATACTCCTCAGCAATGCTGCAGCATGGCACAGTCATCTCGGCCCCCAAAGAAACATCTGAGAACAGGGATCATCTTAGGAGCCATGGCTGAGCCCACATCAAGGCTCTGCAGACCTCTGATGCAAAAACTACTACAGTGAACCCACAGATCTGAACAGAATTATTTTCAGCCTATCCTGGAAAGATCACTAACCCTAAACACCTCAAAAAATTACAGCTAAACTGAAAGRGCTTATTGCACTGACTGCCATCAGGGCAAGGGATTCTCCTGGAGCTCCTACCAGCACTAGCAATGAACTCTTCTGGCTCATGCTGTAATAAGGCCATGATGAGGAAATTAAGAAACTGCTCCAGTCACTGTGGCAGCTGCTTGGCAGCAGCACATGACCACGGGGGTTCTGCACAGTGGCTTGGCACTCTGTGGCTGGCAGAGACAAGACATCAGGAAAGAGGATCTTTTCTAAAGGAGCCAACTCAATTATCCACAAGGCTAGTGACAGGAAAGTATGGCCTGTAAAGGCTGCACTTGGAGGAACCTCTTTCAYTGCCTCCCACTGTTTCTCCCAATTACTTTTGATGGGACAGGTGGTTTCAGCTTGATGGCTGCTGGTGATTGCTACAGGCATGGCAGACAGGCTGYTGTAGAGAAGGGATCGTGTTTCCTGCACCACACAGACAACTCAGCCCCACTGCCAATTCCCATTAAATTGCMAGCAAGAGAGGGAACAGGGAACTCACCCATCTTGAATCAGGTAGTACTTGAGGATCTCGTCGATTTTTGAGGTGGGAGTGGCAAAGCAGCTCTCCACCAGGGTCTCCAGCCCACTGACATGCACCAAGGGCTCAATCCCAAAGTACAGAGAGTCCCGAAGCTTGAGGGTGGGAAGGGCACCCCTGTAGGGCTCATCAAAGTCTTTGTCTTTGAAGATCTCCAGGGTGAAGGGGAAGATGCCCTGGTTGCGGCTCATGATTTCCAGGGGAGAATTCCTGAGGTTGGGCACGTAGCCCTCAGAGATGGTGTAGCGGCGCGGGAACTCGCACGTCACCGGGATCAGCAGCTTGCTGGTGCGCACTATGATGTCCCCATTGCTCCCTGGGGTCTGCTTGGGCAAGCCAGTCACCAGGTTGGTGGCAATGATTTTATCATTTATCACCTGCAGCAAAGAAAGAGCACACCATTGAGAAAGAYCTCTCTGGGCTGACACTCAGAGCAGCCACTGAAGGCTGAGCTTGGGCATTTACACCCCACAACCAGATGATGTTCATCCTCACCGACCCACTAAGGACCTCAGTTTGATGGCCTGGCCTCTGTTTCAGGTGAGCCTTGTTTTAGGCATCACCAGCAGGAGGGTGAAGGGTAAGGGCCCWTGTGCCTTCTACCCCTGTGAAGCAGGAGGCGAGCAGAGAGCAGCACCCATACTGTCAGACACACACAACTGGAGGGGGGATGGAACACCTCTGACTTTGGGAAGCCAGCCCAGGTGTCCTCTGAAAGCAGCTGCATGGCAACACAGGAAAGGGCTCTGAGGGAACAGCTAAATCAACTTTATTCCCCCAATAAGCCACAGCCAAATCCCCAAATCCCAGAGAYTGGACAACAGGCATACGTACATCTACAACTGTACCACAGGACTTCAAGGAGAAATGGATGTTGACATGAGTGCCATTGGAGACACCTTTGCACGAAGTGTTGATGAGGGAAAGGTCCAGGCCTCCAACCAGGTCCTTTGGRATGTTCACCTCAATAGAGCTGGACTTGCAGAGCACTGGAACTGCAAGAGAAGTCCCCAGAATAACAGTGTGCACTACAAACCTACCAATGAGCTGGGGCACAGCCATACCAGTTATTATTGGGGAAAACAGGGAATCATACACAGCGTTTATGATCATGGTCTCACCACAGTAACCTAAGTCCCCATCTTGCATTCYGACCTACACAACACAAACCARAGCTGCCACTGCCCCAYATTCTCCAGCCACAGCAGTGCCTCAGCAAACAATAAACACAATCAGTGCACTTGCAGCAGAAATTCAGCTGTGCTTTTCAGCTTCACTTAATACTCAGCAGAGAYTGGATGGATATCTCTTGTTATGTCCTGGGAAAAGCCTTTGCCAGATATGGATCTCAAACTCACAACACTTCAGGCAAAGCCATTTTTAAGATCCTTAATCAGATTTTATATCAAACCCAAAACACRTTGAAACAAGGCAGAGTAATTCCATATAGGAACCGAGTTAAAATAGAAGTACCTCAAAATGCCATAATAATATGTTTGTAAGCAATAAACCCAGCTCTGACAAACAAACTCAATTAGCTCACTCATTCCACCTCCTTCTAACCTTTAAATTTTAATACAGGCCTCCATAYGATTTTTTTTGAAATTAAAATTTCATTATATAAGAAGCAGGAAAAAACAGAGCTTGGACAAAATAAAAAGGAAGAAGAAGAGAATAATCTTCAATAAAAAATTAATTGATGTATATATATTCCTTGGGATTATACATATCTATTCAGTTAGAGACAGGACATACACCCTGGTGTCATCTATTCTGGTTTCAGCCAGAAAAACAAACCCTTTACAGRATTTACATTTATTGTATTTTAAAATCCCATGATAAAACTTTTTTGCAAATATACTAGCTTCCCAAGATTTTTGCCCAAATTAATTGTGGTCCCAGTCCTTGACATTCCTATGAGTTGCCTTCTCTTAATTTCAATCAYTAATTATGTAATTTAGAATTCTGGATATTTGATATAAGGCACACTGCTAAAACAGGCCTCTTATCCTCTTTAAAAAAACTTCCTGTCCCAGCTAAGGTATTTACAACAGCCTCTGAGTATCTTCAGGGAGGATTTTTTATTAGAAGTTGATCATTTCAAAGTGATGTGCTAAAATGTATGCAAAGTGCCCAAAGCAAAATGTTCCCATATTGCTGTGTTAGAACAGAAAGTTAAAGAGCTAAAAATTACCTTAACTTTCATTCCACTGGCAGCAGAAGGCAAGCAGGAATAACTGAGCATGTCAAATGGCACAGCTCAGGAGCAGACAAAGGGACKTTGAGAACAGAGCATAATGCAGACAGAGAGGAACATCCTTTGGAGAACTGACTGGCTCCATCTGGATTTAAAGACTTGCTGTTCTAGTGACTCCTTGATAAATAAGAAAATGTACTGCTTTTAACAAAGCGAAATTCAGGGCAAGAGATTTGGACCCCAGCTGCAATTCTCTGAAGTTCAGGACTGATTTGGTTCAGGAACTCTCTGTTTCTACAGGTCTTTGACTGGCACAAAATGGAAGAAAGAAAACACTGCATTCCCCCTGTGCTCTAGAGCTGCAGGAATTGTCTGTGCCCTCCACCACCTGGACACAGAAACGAGTGAAGGAAACCCACTGACTCAATCCAACTCATAGCTATTCAGCAAAACACCCAGTCTGTGCCAGTCAAACATTTTAGTTCTTCCCCCTCATGCTCTGCAGARCACCTGTGAGCACTGGGAAAGCCTCCTCATTTCCACTTTAAASTCTGCTTTGCACCAAAGCCTGTGAGTACCTGACCCTGGGGGAAGTTTCTGTGGCGAGTCCAACGCTCATTTCTCTCTACTTTTGGTACTGGCACCACATTCCAGCCTCTGGCTCCTTCCTTGGCCTTTGAAAGTACTGCTGCTTGGAGAAGAGGTTGTCTTCCAGCACAGACTGTTCAGCAAAACAGGCTCTCTGGTGCTGGGAGCCACTGCTACAAACATAAACCCTGCTTACCTCGCCAAAAACTTTGGGCAGCAAATGGGGGAGAAGAGCATTTCATTCCTACCCTTCAGGAAGAGAYAGGGTACTAGGATGGGCTGCCAAATTCTAGGATGGACTGCAAAATTCCAAGTATTTTGCTGGCTGGTATCTTTGTGGAAAAATTGTAGCCTGTAGACTGTGATTTCTGTGRAAGATTATTAATGTTTGTTCTGAATGTAGAGACAGTGCAGAGGAGGGTAGAGAGACTGCAGATCCAATTGCTTCAGGCAACTGTGCCTGCCCTGCACTGTTAATTGAACCAATATAAACCTGATTAGATGTCATAAAAAATTGTATGGTACAGTTCCATATCTGCTCAGARCTGCAGACCACAGCGTGGGGACATAAATTCGTGAATGCAAAAGAACWGGCAATTTCACTTTATGAGATGCTGTATCCCAAGCCCAGCCTGGCTCCCAGCAGTGCTACTGCTCTCATTAGCAGCCTCACAAGCTGCAGAAACCCAGGCTGGCAAATGCAGGACTTCCAACCCTGCTGGGGTTGCCTCAGGGATGCAGGACTGGAAAACATCACTCTGTATTCATAAATCAGACCTTCAATCACAACTCCTGGAAATCCCCACCACCACTGCTGCATCCCCAGTGTGCAGTGCTCACCCTTGGGGGTCCTGCACTTCTAAACACCTTAAACAGCAGAAATCCCATACAGCAGAACCATTCCAACTTCCTCTCTGAGGCACACCTGCCCTTTTGGCCACCATAAAGCCTGGATCTGCYCCTCCAGCTGATGTCTGGGCACTCTGTGACACATCAGGCTGCAGGAGATTCTCTGAGCACACCAGGCAACACCAGGCCACTGGTAGCCTCAGTATATTTGCAAAAGAAATCTTTGCAGAAAAACAGGGAACTTGTTTATTCAATGTGCATGCCATAGCACGAGTGACTCAGCAGGAAGGAGTCCCTGTGGGAAGTTCACATGGAAGGTTCTCTAAGGATAACRCTGCCCTTGCCTCTCTGCAGCACAAGAGTCAATTTTTTAGATGTAACCCAGGCACTTTTCCAAAGGGGCAGCAGGAGCACTAAATATCAAAGCTAGTGTGCCCTGCTTCAAGGCATAGGAATCTTACTGGAATGGCATACTTGGAAAAAACAKGCCTCTCTTTAACCCTGCTTTTGGAAGAAACTGGACCACTTGAGCTGAGATTTTGAAGTCTGAAGCATGGAAAACGTCAGTTCTAACAGCATACATTTGTCAGAAGCACACAGAATTGGAGCAGAGCAGTATATTGGCAGGTGTTAAGCAGTGTTAATTGTAAGAACACTGCCAAAACCACCTGTGATGCAAGATGCACCCAAGCTGGGCCCTGAGGCTGTTCTCCTGCCTGGATAAAAGAGCAACATCTTCAGGCTCTCACTTTTGAATGATCTGTCCTTAATAACAGAGCTCCATCAACCCAACTGGAAAGGACAGACTGAGAGAAGACAGCAGAAACAAGAAGAAAAGTTCCTTCAGCCACACTTTTGGAGGACAGAGGCTACTGGKGAGATTTTGTTGCCCTACCTTGGCAAGTGTGGTTGTCTTCTGACAGAACAAGTCCCCTGGGGCATTCGCACTGGTAGGTGTCTTCCACTTCAATGCAGGTATGGCTGCAGCCTCCGTTGTTATTGTGACAGCCTTCAATTTCTGTGAGAGAAAGGAGAATCAGCACATCCTGCAAGCCCCAACGTGCTCCTGAGCAACACAGCTTGAAGRCAACAGCTTTTTTTTGCAAGAAAAAGTGGTGGAATCCCCCTTTTAAATGGTACAGTTTCCTATGTTTGTCATTTCGCCACGGGGTTATCAAGGAGTTCTGTGGAAAAGCTTAACAAATTAAATCCTATGCTAGAGCTGGCATACTGAATAGGCAATCTGCAGATTGGCCCTTTAAGAATCATAGAATTATAGGATGGCCTGGGTTGGCAGGGACCTTAAACACAATCTCCTTCCTGACATTGGTGCCACTATCCCAGGTTGCTCCAAGCCCCATCCAACCTGGCCTTGCACACTTCCAGGGATCCAGGGGCACCCACAGCTTCTCTGGGTAACCTGTGACAGCACCTCCCAACCTTCACWGGGAAGAATTTCCTCCCAATGTCCAATCTAAACCTACTCTTGGTTTAAACCCATTCCCCCTTGTCCTGTCACTACACGCCCTTGCAAAAAGACTTCCTGAGAAATTCTCTTAAACAAAAGTTTTATGTTATTTCTTACTTCAAAAAGGAGGGAAGAAAATCCTCTTAAAATCCTCTTCTACACTCCATCCCCTTTATCACCAGCAGAATGAAAGCCCTGAGCTTTGCAGGGGAGCTGCTTTGGGGAAGGACAGCCCCACAGGTGGCCAGTCCTACTCTCAGCAGGGAACACTGGAGAGATGAATGTTCATTCCCATTCATTCTCATGAGAGATGCTCATTCCCTCTGGGTTTCCCAGCTCTGGGGGAGGTGGGTGTACCAACCTCCTTCTACTCCTTTGAGTCTGAGGATGAAACTCTGCTTCCTGGAGTTTGTTCAGCAGGAATTTTGCGAGCTCGTGAGTTTTAGGCTTTGAGGTTGGCTCAGGGACAGCACAAGTTCATGGTGTAAGGTTGATTCACTTCCTAATTTTCTCCCACTGMAGAGTGCAGAGGAGAGAGGGCATTACAGCTCTTTATCATGTCTTTTCCTACATCTCTTTTGATCAGGTGAGGATCTGAGTTTTTGCGTAAAATAAATCCGTAGCCACTGCAGCTGCAGAAAAGAGCCTGAAAGGTCATCCACAAACATTGTGAAAATTCTGAAAATCTAAGGGAAGTAAGGCCACTTTCAGTTCTTTTGGCTTCGTTATAAAGAAAATAATAGAGGATTATGGGTTTTTCTTTCAAATAACCTTCACTGGTTGATTGTTTTAACCCTTTGGGATGAATATGCTAGATGAGTACTACTGATCTCAGTAAAATAACAGCACATAAGATAAAAAAATCATAAATACAAAGTATTTCTCCCTGAGCCCATTATCATTACAGACTATGYGGTTTTCACTGAAATGTAAAGAATAGAAATCCCATACTCAATCTTATACAATGCATGGAAAATAACAGCCTGAACACCCCATATGTGTCAAAGTAACGGGTAAAGCATCATAATGTAAATTCTGAGATACTTAAAACTCTACTCAGCCTCACCAGCTCACAAAACCAAGCTAAATCTCTTGCATTTGTTCTTTTTAGCAACRAGCTGTAAGGTGGCTCACATTTCACATTCCATTCTCCAGCAGCTGAGAGCACATCTTCAGAAATAAAACTCACTAACAAGATTGTAAAAATCCCCAGCAGCAGTGTTAAACTTGTGAAAGGCACCATCCTTCTTACAGAAGGGAAATTAAATGACATAGCAAAGATCCTAAAAGCCARCTTGGGGAATGGCAGAAACAAATGAGTTTCCAAACAGACTATTCCAGCCCTGTCAGAAGAGTGCAGCGCTTGTGAATAAAAACTGCACAGTTCATTTATGTCACCAGCTCAGAGCTGGATGTGGCAGGGACAAAGCCCACAGACYGTTTCTGGCCCCACACAACTTGACAAGTACTTAAGGAGCACTCTGCACAGCAGCATTTCCCAGGGAAGTGTCACTGCCTGGATGTGTGATGTACTAGCAGAGCTCAGAGAGCAGATTTAGCACTTTTGGGTAGTTGGAAAGTGAGGCACATCYGTAGTTATTTTTCTTGTCTGAGGCCCCACAGTGTGTCTGAACACCACACAGCAGCTTTGCTGTGAGGGGGCACAGCGTTTTTCCACAGCTCACCACAGAAAACAATCAGGCACASTCCAATTTCTGATGGGATTGCCTATTTCTGCTCAGAGATGTTTGTACATTGTTATGACAACACATCAGACCTACAATTTGGTCTTTAAGCCGCCCGTCTAAATTTATCAAGTGTTTTCAATCTGGCTGTGCCACCACTGGGAAGGAACTGTGGCAGCTGCACRCAGCAGATCCCACAGACACCAAACAGCAAAATGCAGCCCTAATCCCAAATTTAKCATCTGTCCACAGATTGGCACCCCCTCTCCTCAATCTCTGTCCTGGCAGGCTAAAGTGATCCTCCTGCCCTAGTCTCCTGTCATGACATTACCCCACTCCGAAGGTGGGCTGCCCAAACCCAGCTCTGCTAAATCTGCCCCCACAAAATTACCACACACAAATCTCCAGAGCCAAATTCCAATGACTGCACCGTAGTTCTGCCTGGATAACCAATCTCCCAGATCCACTGCTGCCTTTCCCCCACGGAGATAAACACAAGCAAATCCTAACAGAAATGGACAAGGCAGGGACAACAACAAGGAGATTTCTCTCTSCTTGCTTAGCAGGATATTTTAGTATCAACCCCTTTGCGAGCACAAAGGTGATACGATTGACATTTAATCCCAGGTGCAAGGAGCCAAGAGAGGGGCAAGGCTGCAAGGAAAGGATTTACAGTTTCCAGCAGCCTGTGGTAGCTGAAGCCTCACCTTCACAGGTTTTCCCATCGCTTCCCAGCGTGCGTCCGACCCCGCACTCGCAGCGGAAGGAATTCTTCAGGTTAACACAAAACTCGCTGCAGCCTCCRTTGTTCTGCTCACATTCATTTTCATCTGGAAAAAAAAAATACCTGGAATTAAATCAATAATCCCACTAACAGCAGTAACACTGACAGTAGCTTTTGAATCTCTTGGTAAAGCTCTGAAAGCTCCTCCTAACTCTTTTTTAAAGGCTAAGGTTCCTCTGTGTCTGTCTGCCCTTTTTTTTTTTGTTTTTGAAAGGTACTTTGTTCTCTGGGATTCTAATTCCTCAACCTGGTTTWATCTCCTGTGTGCAAAAAGCAAATCTAACAGAGAGGAAGGGACAGACATGGCTTTTGCTGARCCACAAAGTGAATGATTTCTCTTAGGCAGGCCAGGATGCTGAAGTTATCAATCATGGTYCACATGGGATTTCATCAAAACAGCTTAGAAGCTGGCATTTAGCAGATGTCAGAAGCTTAAAAACAAGAAAAAAAGCAAAGTAGCATTTTAACAGACAGGTCGGAGAAGAGCTCTCTCAGGAAATCAGTGGTCCCAGACATGCACAGTACTCACAGCTGGCAGCTGGTGGTGGTGTCTCYTTCCACAAGCAACGTGAATTGAATATTTTTAGCCAAAAAATTGGCTGGTACCCTGCTTTGGGAGGCAGGAAGCATGTCCAGGAGACTCACACACACACTCTGCTTTTCACACACATGACAGCTCTGCACTTTCCCTTCTAAAAATAAAACTAAAGCTGCTTAAAAACAGAAGGTGAAGAGGGAAAGGGCCACTGGCAAAGGCACAGAGATGTTGTTAGAAGGGCCTAGGGCCTGTCTTAGTCAAGGGCTGGGCCCAGAAATTCTCCTCATGGTCCTTCCAAGTCATAAAGCTTGGAAGATCTGTTCCTGCTCTTCCACACCAGTGACAACCAGCACTTTTGGGACACAGGCTGGTTGTCTTGAGACTGGACTGGGAGAGAGCTGAGCTGATTTTAACCATGGCTTAGTGGATAGATCCAGGTATTCATGAAGTCAAAGGCAACGCACTGAGTTGGTGGATGTGTGACAGAAAGTCTAAGACCTTGTCTAACCCCTAAATGAAAATGTAACTCAGGATCAGGCATTCTGCACTGGGATTTAAAGCATGTAATGTACTCAGCATTCACAGAATGGTCTGGGTTGGAAAGGACCTYARAGCTCATCTTGTTCCATCCCCTGCCACTAGACCAGGCTGCTCCAAGCCCTGTCCAAAYTGGCCTTGGACGSTTCCAGGGATGGGGCAGCCAAAGCTTCCCTGCTGCATTATTGCAGCATCTTCAGGCCCCCTCTTCAGGAGGACAGKGAAAGGAAGCACATTCTTCATCTAGGAAAGACAAGCGGGGATTTATTTGGTTTCTGTGTAAGAATGACACAGTTGCTCCCAGAGATGTGATTGCACAATTACTCAGCACAACAGAAAGTCACTAGAAAGATAACAGGGCCACACAAGAGAGGCTGCAGGTAGGTGAAGCAATGTGATCATTCCAGCTGAGGTGTTGTGCCATCTGGGAATCTCGAGGAGGACAAGTAGCAGTGCAGAAATCCTGCACATGGGGTGATGAAGGTAACTGCAGCACACACAGACAGGCTCAGGACTCCAGYGTGCCTCCCTGCTGCAGGAAATCCTTTCTTCTCAGCCTGCCACACTGAGTGCTGGTGCTCATCAAGGGCACTTCTGTGACTGGAARGCTTGCACAGAAGGAGCCAATAAATGCTTTTAATTATCTGAGAGTGCTCAGTCAGCCAGTTGGCTGCAGAGATGTGAAGCTGCTTAAGCAAAAGCCTTYCCCAGAACCAGTGTGATCAAGTGGAACTGCAGCACGGTCAGGCTGCTCTCTCCACAGACTGGAACGACTGTGGCCCCTGTCCTGCTGCTCACAGACATGGGGTGTGTGAAGAAAGAACCCACCCACGCCTGCTTTGTCAGGTGTAGCCCCTATGGAACAGACTGACCTGCCACACAGCCTCCTGGACCAACACTGCTTTCAGCACCACCACCCAACCAAGCCACAGAGATGAGAGTCCAAACATTCTTTCCTTCCTCTCCCTTCCCTCTCCCTATTCATCAGTGTGGCTCTGCAGCTCCMCAACAGCCACCCCACCCCTTCCCAGCCCTTTCATTTGCCCCACAGACCGTCTCTCAGCTGACCTCACAGTCCAGAGGCTCTTCCCCAGCCCCACACACACACCATAGCCATCCTCTCCTCAGAGGTTCATGGGGACTCCCCATGCTGGTCTCATCTCCCTCCTGGCCATGCTGGTCTCTACCACCAAGTGCCAGCCCCCTGAATAGCCCCTTGTCATGCTGCCTAAAACCACTGCAGCTGTGCTGGGACTTASAGCCCTTTGGCTCCCCTCAAGCCCCAGGCCCTAGATAATGTCCCAAAAGGGCAGAAGTATGGTGGAGCTTAGTGTGCACCCCTAGGACAGCCAGCAAAACTTTTTTTAGAGAAGAGATATTCAACAGAGCATTGAATTGAGAGGAAATCTCTAATGCCAGACTGCCCAGTATTTCCTGAGTACCACAGTGATACCATCTGATCCTGCACCATGATCTTGCAAAGAGGCTCTGCTACTGACAGTGCAGCTGCTGCCTTCAGCAGCTGAGCCATGCAGACAGCAAACCTAGCCTCAAACATGGAGCTCCAGGGGCACCAGGATGGATGCAGTCATGGGATGTCATATCTCAGAACCGTTTACAGAATCACAGACCTGTTCTAGGCAGCAAARGGGAAAATTCCTCTCAGGATACATAATTTTTTTGTAAGGCAAGGTATTGAGATGTGAGCAATGAAACAAAGGGAAAAAGAAAGCATCAGTAACTGGCACAGCTTATTTTCCTTACCAAGGCATGTCTGTCCATCAGGTCCCAGTGTTGTCCCTGGGGAACAGGTGCAGTCRCTGGTGTCCAGGCAGGAGCCCTGGCAATCCACCACATCACAGATGTCATAAAAATCTAGGRCATGACAAGAGCAGTGTCAGCACAAAGCATTGAGCATGAAACAAAAATACAGTATTTGTCCCATCAGCTTCACACCCTGTGTGCAATCCATCAGTTACAGACCTGGCCCACGGTGGGAAAGCTGAATTGCTGAAGCTGCTGGGAAACAATCTAGTTTAATTACTGCCAGTCAGAGATGCAAATTTTGACTTTGGTAACATGCCAAGACAAACCACAGGGCCCACAGGGAGCATTAAATCACTGCGGCCAGGTCAGCTGTGGAAAAACSCTGCTAGCAGAACAAAATGGGTGAAACTGCCTCACTGATCCTACATGGACAGGCCAGCACCTGGAGAAGCCAGCAGCCAGGCACTGCCTCTCCTACCTCCCTGGGATGAATCACAGAACCACAGAATCACCAGGGTTGGAAGGGACCTTCAAGATTTCCGAGTGGAACACGTGCCCTGACACTTCAACTAAACCACGGCACCAAGTGCCACATCCAATCTTTTTTTAAACACATCCAGGGACGGTGACTCCACCACCTCCCCGGGCAGATCATTCCAGCGCTTTATCACTCTTTCTGTAAAAAACTTTTTCCTAATATCTAACCTATATATATCCATTGGTGCAGCTTAAGGCTGTGTCCTCTCATTCTGCCAGTTGCTGCCTGGAAAAAGAGACCAACCCCACCTGACCACAACTACTTTTCAGGAAGTTGTAGAGAGCAAYAAGGTCACCTCTGAGTCTCCTTTTCTCCATGCTAAACAACCCCAGCTCCCTCAGTCATTCCTTACAGGGCTTGTTCTCCAAGCCCTTCACCAGCTTTGTTACCCTCAAGGGTCAGCAAAGCAAAGGAGCAGTGACTCACGGCCGCAGTAGGCGTGGAAGCAGACGCTGGGCTTGGTGAGGTGGTACACATAGTACCCCCCCGGGCAGGCCTTGACCTCGATGGTGGTGTTCCAGAGGCAGCAGTTGCCGCTGAAGCTGGCGCAGGCCTGGCGCCGCACGATGCCGTCGGTGTGGCGCGGGTGGCTGCCGTTCATCCAGATGGGAGCGTGGGTGCCGCAGTGGTTCTCGGGGATGCAGAAGGTGGGCATGGCATCGCCGGCCATGCCCGTGAAGCGGTACCACTCGCCGTCGATGCCGCTGTCGCACGTGGGCTGCCCGTGAGAGCCGTTGATCTGGTGCTCTGTGTTCCGCCAGGGCTCGTTCAGGCTGACGTAGGCAGAGCAGGGGTCCAGGGCTGGGACACAAAGAGAGAGAGCATCTGGTACATACCAAACCAAGCTGTTGACTGATAATTGCAAAAGCATTTTTYTTCTCCATTCCCTGACCTGACAGAACCATCGTGATAGAGATCCCTGGGGAGAAAAGGTGATACCAGCAAACTCATTGCCTTGTGGAAAATTCTGACAGCTCATCTTAAAGGTCTCGGAGGAACAAGTAAATTAACAGAGCTCTTACAACATTATGCAACAGTCTGACTTGCTGTTTAGACAGGGGGAAAAAAACAAGATACAAGCAAATCTGAGGTCCAGGTAGTGATTCTGCCATAGGAAACACACCCTGGGAATACCAGATCTAGGACAATAACTCTTTCAAGTTCTAGTTCAAGTACTAACTGAGCATCTGTGAGCTCCTCCTGAAGTCACTGGTAACTCTGCCAATTGCCTTGGAACAAAGGACCATATATTAAGCAGGTTATGCAGCCTCTTTTAAAACCCATCCTCAGCCAGTGCAGCCCTCACAGCTGAGCTGCCAAACCTTTTWATTTATTATCTAAGAATCTAGAGGTCATGAAGGTCTGATTTGGGTCTGAATTTCCTCATTCTGGGGAGGAAAATATTCAACCCTCTACACAGCTGTGTTCCTTGCAAGCCCACAAACCTCATGTGCACAGAAGATAAGCTCTTTGTGAGTGAAGTGTTTGTCAGGGCAAGACACAAAACATGGACCTCCTGGCAAGTGCATGTCTGTTCATGCTGTGCTCAAGGAGTGTGTCCCTTTTCAGAGGCCTTTCTGAACCTACTGCAAATAATTAAAACATGAGAGTACCACAGGGAGAACATAAATGAAGAATTTAAGTGTTCATTAAATTTTCAGTCTTCTCCTAATTAACCCTGATTTGGCAGCTTCCTCACTGAAAGTCCAGAGGTTCCATTTTCCYTTACATTTAATACCTTATTAAGCATTACTTATCCATGACAAGCAATTCCCTATAAAGCAAAAGAAATGCTAATACTGCCCTGAGTAAGGAAAATTGATTACCATTTCCTAAAATTAGGCTYGTAAAACCAATCATTCTGATAAAATCCATCTTGGACTGGAACAGCCTCAACTTTCCATAGCACATTTCTTTTGAAGTCCTAAAGCTGTGCTGTTTTATTTTGACAATACAGTGGTGCAGGTTGGGTGAGGGAGAAGTATTATGCTCTTTCTRTTAGAAACACAAATGATCCTGGTTCATTATTTTGATTTGTTTCGCTGACTTTAAAGTGGGAACTATAAGTGCTTCAGAGAATGGATTTCAAGTCACTCTTATTTAGCTGTGTCCTCTGTAAAGATCTGTCCTACAGATGTGCTAGCTCGTAGAAGTATCTCACAAATATAACATCTCTTATGCCTTCCTCAGCCACAGACACATTTTGTTTGGTCTCAAATCCTGCAAAAAAAGGCAGGAGCAGCTGTCAGAGTCAGGAGTGCTGCAGGGCTGGCACAGGCAGTGTGGATCTGGGTTATGAAGGAATCTCTAGTGCCACWATTCAAAGATACACAGAGGAGCTGATTCACTGCCACCACAACCAGCCTAGTTCTGAGCAGCAGAGAGGGGAATGCAGCAGGGAATCKCTGATGGGATTCACCAGGCAATCCCTCAGGAGCTCTCCTTTTCACCTGCCTCAGCCTGCCTGCCCTTACCCACAGAGAGCAGCAGCGCTGTAAACCCCATCCTCCAACAGCTGGTTTGACTTGTCCCAAAAGGGAGGATAGGTCCAGAACAGAGCTTCCTCTGGGCTTCCCTCAGTCAAATTCCCTTGGTTTCCACCAAAGCATTTGGTGTGGCCTTAGGGTGAGTCACTGACTAAGATTAAAAGGTTTTCATGTTGTTAAAAGCCAAGCGAGGTGAAGCAGGAATGCCCTGTCAGCTTCCCAGCTGGGCAGCACTAAAAATACCAACAGTCTCATTAGCTTTCATGTAATTATGAAATATCCTTTGTAGACACACTCTGGGAACTCTCCTCTCGGGAGATTATGTTGTCTCCTAAACATCCAGAGATAATTTAAAGACAAAATTTACTGAGATGAACATGTAGCAGTTCAGAAGGAGCTGGAAGAAGGCACGTCAGGGGAATTGAGGTAGCATTCCCTCACATCTTTCATTCCCTGAGAGCTTCTGGCAGGACTGAGGGGGAGGCAAACAAGCAGAAAAAGCAGACAGTGCTTTTTGGAACACTGCAGATCCTCACAGCCACCTTTGGACTGCCAGCACTGCCCCACGCCAGCCTCCCTGCAGACACCAAGCAGTCTTTGGCAGCACAGTTTTTTTCATTTTAATTAATTAAATTAATATGAGCTTTTCAGAAAAAAAAAAAACACCAAAAAAAAAACAGTCCACAAAAACAGAGAAGCATTTGATCAGCCTCTCATCTCTGCTCCCTAAACAACAGGCTTGGGGGTTTGCACAAGATGAATAACTGTCTCCAGCTCCTTATCTTTTATTTTTCTTGGCTCAATTTTTTTTCCTCCCCAATGCTTCTTGCGTGGCCTGAGCAATTCAGCCTGACAAGCATTAGCTATGAAGCAAAGCTTTTCCATTTGTAATCTTGATGATATCATTAGTTCTCTGGCTGACACGGTAGCAGATACACCGGGTGACAAAGCAGGCTCCAGCAAGCACTGGTGAACCCCCCATTTTGCAGAGATTAATCCTGGGTGCACTGTGTAACCTGAGGTCTCTGCTGCAGCACAACTAARAAACAGAGTAAGCAGCACTGCATTATAACACTAAAATTAGTTCAGATTTGTCAAAGAAGCAAGCAAAAAGGAAGCATAATGTCTACTCATAGAGTCTGTCCTCCAAAGGCAGAGGAAAATCCCACAGTGCCTTGGTAATAGAGATTCTCCCAATAAAGGAGACTTCACACTCTATAAAAGAAGGATCTTTCCAACTGGAAAGAATTTCACATCACCTTYAAAGAGAAGGGATATTTCTCCCACCTTCCTTCCAGTCTTTCACCTAAGAATTCCAAGGCTCAGTGTGAACCTTGGAGCTTGCAAAGAGAAATAAGGTAATGCCTCTTTACTCACCCATCGAAGACACCGGCTGGAGCTGAATGACAAAGTAGATACAGAAAAACAAGTACTGAAACATCCCACTGAGCCGAGGAAGAGCCACCACTCAAGGGACAGAAACCTGAAAACCCTTATACAGGCTGTGGCTCTTGCAGCCTTCCTCTCAGTGGAGCTTCTGACTCCAGGCTTCCAGAGGAGCAAGTGAAGTGATTGCTCTCCTGGAAGTTTATCAGAGGAAGAAGCCAAAGGGATGTGGGGAACAGCTCCTGCCTTGACCTCCCCAGAGCAGCTCTGCCCCTCACTGACATGTACTTACTGATCCATCTTGTTTTCTGCACTTGACCTGCTATTGTTTTCTGCCCTGCATGGCCCACAGTGACACCTCCACTATCTTATCCAGAGAAGAATTCTAACTGGGGACACCCGGACATCCCAAAGCGATGGAAAAGAAGAACAGATGGGTGCTTGTTATCTCTGCTCTTTCCACAAGTCAAACTCCACAGCTCCCTCCAGGCACAAAACACGGGCTAAGGAGCCTTAACTGCAGGAAACTGTRGCCAAAGGAGCAGGACTGATCCTTCCGAGCAGCGATTGCAGAGGAGCGCTCGGAGTAGAGCTACAATGGACACATCAGTCAAACTGAAAGGCTGCTGTCCCACAGGGAAATCAGCTGTTCCTGGGCTTCACAACGGCCCTTTCCTCTCCTGCAGTGAGATTATCAAACAAGGCAAGCAAAGACAGTTTTCTGTAACAGTCTTACAATCTCTTGTCTTTAAAAAACAAACCAAACTCAGCGCTTATGGAGTTAATTTTGATGTAAAACCAATTAATTGAGAACCTCTCCTGAGCAGTTCAAACTGAAGTGGGTTGATGTGCAGGTGACAACCACAAGCTCTAGATGCAGCACCTGGAATCTCTTCTCTGCTACAGCAAACCCAGAAAGGGTTCTTCCCTCTCACCCCACCAACTCTTATTGTAAGAGCTCTTTATCAGCAATGAGTGCAGCTAAACCTACAGTTCCCAAAAATCAGGGCATTTCCCCATTCTTTTTGCATCMTGCATTTCTGCAGCAGGCTGGCCTAAGAAATGACATCAAGATTCAAATTCCAGCAGGAAAAGAGTGCCTCATTATYTCCATGTTGAGTTTGCACAAGATAAGGAGCTGGGTGCTTGTCTGTCTTGTAGGGACTGTGCATTACAGAAAATTCTCAATGGCCTCTCTGTGTCTGGGTGTGTCCCCGGCAGTGAAGTGCAATATTCTGCTCTGCTCCACCCCAGCACAGAAGTCTTTTTTCAGTGGTGAATGACTACAGGGAACAACAAAAAATCCCAAAATAAATTATTGTTATTGCTCCCACAAGAAAAAAATAAAACTCTTGTGGCTCCATTGTGCTGACAGCTGTGCAGTACCAGAAAAGTTTTTCCAACAACAGGAAAGGARAAGAGATTCACTACACAAAGCTATCAAGGCAGATAACCCTCAAGAGGCGATTATGTGAATTCCCAGAASAGAAACTAAAATTGAACAGACAATAATCCAACAAGCCACTGGAATTTCTATTTTGCCATTTTCATTGAGAGGTTGATYCATATTTGTGATCCCAGATAAATAAAACGGACAAGCGTGAATGGAATGCTCTGTTTGTGTCCCAGGTGTGTACAGCTCTCTGAACCATCTCATCCCCAGCTGCTTCTGTTTTGTAGCTGCTACACGAGCCTGTTACAACAATGTTTTGACAGGTACATGTGAGTGACTGACAGCTGACAATTCACAGAGAAATGAACTGCAGCATCTCAAACTGGAGYCTCAAAGGTGTCACCTACAGGCCCTATCAAGTTCCCCAAAATGGATTAAAGCAGGAGCTGCCYCAGCATTCCCAGAGACGACACTATCCCAAATCACCATAACATTTAGTTGAAGGAAGTGGCCTCGAGCTGGAGAAGACTGTGTCCTGTCTCTAAATATTTTTGGGAAGAAGCACCAGAGGCAACTCTTCTATCAGCACTTTTGCTTTGCAAGTTAATTTCGGTGATATTCATGCCTCCAATTCCCCCACAAACAAAATSAAGGAACTGTAACAGTTAATCTTGAGAGGAGAAAGAGGGGGAAAAAAACCCAAAGAAACAACCTGCCTGTACAGAGATGCTTTGGGAGAAACACTATTCAAACAGGTCATTTTACATTCCGTAGGGTCTGCACGCTCCAGGCAAACCTGCTGTTCCTGACCTCCACATCTGCATCCCAAAGATTAATGAGCCCAAAACCCCAAAAATAATCAGGCTCAAGTTTGTACTTCTAAAAAGAAGTCACCAGTACTGTTTAAAAGATATTAAGAGAAAAGGAAATATTAAAATAGAGGGCAGAGATTTTGTTTTGGTATCCAAAAGGGATTTTCTAAACCTACTACAAAGCCTACGTATGTATGTTCTTACCACAAGAARGAATGTTCATTTTGCAGGTGGCAACCACACTTCTTGCCCCTCCCAGACATCTCTGGAGAGTTTTACCAATCCTACATAAGGAACTCAAATTCTTCAAAGCATTGGCTGGGCTGGAAAACCTCGTACAGTTTGTAACTGACTGATGAATAAAAATGCTTTGGCGTTTGAGATGACCTTGGCTTTGTCAGAGCCACCTCTCAGGACACATCARTGCCTGGGAGGTGTGTGAAGCAGAGCTCTGGCTGCAGGAACCTGCAGCCTGTTTAGAAGGAGAAGGAGGAAGAGCTAATCAGCACTTCCTGGTGCAGAGAGAGAAGAGAACCCGGCACAAGGGACAGGATCCCTGTCTGGGATTGAGTGGAGGATGTAGGTTCACAATAAGCCATGACAGGCAGCTGAGATGGATTGCACTAGAGTCAAGGACTYTGAGATAGGCCTTGCTGCTGTAAACAACTTGTTCCAGGACTCAGTGCCAGTGGGAAGGGCTGTGGAGATCAGGGAGGGAACACAAACTGAGTGAAGTGTGAGGCAAACTCAACACAAGCAAAACCTCACAAATCCATTAGAGTGGATTCTAATGTACCTCAAGTACCTCACTCTTAGTTAAAAGGACCAGTTATTTCCTTTCCCTTAGTGGAGCACTGTGATGCAGAACTTGTTTYGTTTTTCCACAGGTTCTACAGAACCCAATGTATTTTCCACACTCCTCCGTTTTCAGATGGAGCAAATAGGGCATAGATAGCACACCAACAACTGCAAAACCAGAGGCAGAAAGAGGAATAGGACTCCTCTTTTAAAAGTCCTCAGAGCCACAGCAGCACAACCTAACAGCAGCTTCTCCCCTACTTCAGGACTTAAGTACACTGCAAATCTAACTTTCATTACTGTATTTTATTTTTCACCCCTTTTCTGTCAGTAAAGAAATAAGCCTGATGGGTTCTTTAAAAGGGAATAATTAGAGTCTCTTGGGATAGGTCAAAGAATACTTAAGATATTAAGATCTTCTTCTGTGAAAATGAAGCCATACTATGGGGCACARAGGAAAGAAGCTTGCATTTATAACTCCACACACAAAAAAAAAAAACCCCAAGGGATATCAAAGAAATTGGTCCACTGGCTCAAAGACAGGGCAACTTGGCCAGCTTCACTTGGCTGGCTCAGTGCCATGGTCTGACAGCCAGCAGCAGCATCATGCAAACCCTCTTGGAACCAATATGGAAGCACAAGAACTTGCAGCCAGGGGTGTCATCACTGCTGACTGCCAGGCAGGAAGTGTTACAGGAGGAAAGAAAGAGGGTTTCTTTGCTCTTCAGGAAAAAGGAGCCAAGAACACCTTCCCTAGAGGAGCCTGCAAGGAAGAGCCTCACAGGTGTGGCAAAGGGATCTTCATGCAGTTCTCCAGAAAACTTAGAACTGATCACGTATTTATCTGAAAGACCCCTCAAAGGAGAGGTTAATCAAATGATTAACAAAATTGGTAGAAAAAGCAGCACCTGAGCACTGCAATGCACCCTGCTGCTTATTCCTCAGCAGGGCTGAGGATTGAAGTGGTACATTAAGATTCAGGCAGCACTGCCTGCTCTTCAAGAGCTGCCAGGGGAACAGGACCCTATTACCTGCCTGGCTCCCAAACGGGAAATAGTYGCTGCAAGAGTGTGTTGATGTTGAGATACAGCAGTGTGGATCAGGAGAACAAACAAACCCCACCTTTCTCTTCAGTGTTAGCATTCCAAGGCACTGACATTGCAGGGGGAGGCTTGTGGATTTTAGGCACAAGTGCAGACACTTTTCTTACTTCTTTTACCCACATCTTCTCTAGAACAACATTAAAGCATGTGCAGAAACAGTTTTGTAACAGCATCTTGTTGCTTTCAAAAGAGATTGTGGTGCTGTGATGTCATGAAGCCTCCTGTTCTCCTGGATGCCAAAATGGATGAATTCTTATGCAACTGAGCCAAATAATTGACCTAATGGGTGGCAGCAGCTCGGCTGGGGACAGCAGCAGRCCAAGGGCTGCTTGTCAGCAGTGATTAAAGGCAGGTGACAACAGCTTCCAGCTCTTGCCCTCCAGCTTTGAAAAACACAAGTTAGCTGTTTCAAAAATGACCTAATCACAGATGCTAGTTTTTTTTAAGCAGTCCATGGGTATGAGAGAAACCCTTACCAAATGTCTCATTCTAATAACCCATCAAGTTAGGACAAAGCACACTGTGCTGATTCCCAAAGTTAATAAACAAATCATGTATGCCACCATGACAAATCAAACCATTCAAGGGCCCAGAAAGAAAAGAACTGAAGCCTAAAACTTCAGTTTTCCTCCAAAAGGGCACTTGAATGTAATACAGAAATACACTGACAYCACAGGTATCTCTTTTAGGTTGCTGGGCATTACCTGCCCATACATATTTTTATCCTGTTACTATGCTGGCCTTACAAAGGCAGATCTTTGCTACACCAARTATCTCTACCTCACCACCTGAACTGCTCCCGAGATCTCTGTGTTAAGGCAGCCAGATCTCCATCCAGGCTTCTTCAGGAAAGCTATTATCTGCATCACCACGGCCCCAGTGAGGTAAGGTCAGTCAAGAAGACACAACCTAAACAAAAAGAAATGGAGGAAAACTCAGGAGAGAGCCGCCACACAGCAAATATTCTCTTCTCAGCTGGGAAAAATAACATTATTCAAGAGCACTGATTCAAAAATTGAATAGCTATTTATTGTTCCAGAAGTACATTGCTCTTTTATACATATTTCATAAATGATACAGGATTTTACACATGTTCAGGTTTTTTTGTTCTTTTTTTTTTTTTTAAAGGACTTTTCTCCATGCTCCC